TCACTGCGTCTCCGCACCCAAGAGCCTGCCGGCCTGGCCGGGGCAGAGATCACCCGGGTGATCCCGCAGACGTGCGCAGGACTGCCCGAGCTGGGGGGGGGGGGGGGGGGTCATATTTGACGACCTCCGTGGCCGAGTGGTTTGTACGCCGGGTTTCATGGTGTCGCCGACTCGAGAGGTCCCGGGTTCGAATCCCGGTGGGGGCAAATGTTTGTGTGATGAATACAAGCATTTGTACTCCAGTCATGGATGTTTAATATGTATTTCTATATAAATATACTTATATATGTACAATATATGTATTCTATCCGTTACCCTAGCATCCCATAACACAAGCCTTATAGTGCTTACTGTGGGGCTAGGCTAATTGGTGTGAGTGTTGGAGATATTTATTTATTTATTTATATTTATATAGTCGTGGTCAAGCCACAGCAGGTACAGATTGTAAAGTGGGTACAAATGAACCCAGCCCAGGGAGGGGGGGGGTCATGACCCCCATGACCCCCCCCCTCTGGATCTGCGCTTGGCTGAGAGCTTAGTGCTATGATATGGGAGATTGATGGCAAAGGGCCTATTAGAAACATGTAGAGTTATGAGGGGCAAGTGTAATAACGGGCACAGAGAAATGAGTGTTACTATAATAAAAAATGGGTGCGTGTACTTATGTAGGCGCGTGAGAAGTTATCCTTCTTTGGCATCGTTTAAAATTAGTTTTTAATTGCATGCAAATAATTAATTACAATAAATTAATAAAAAGTCTGGAAAAGGACACAGTCAATAAAGTTCAGTTTTAATTTGAAAAAATAAATAAACAATCAAAATATTCAATTAAAATCGCTACTGAATATAATAGCGGCGTATGCACTTGACCGTGTTCTACTACACCAATGGTAAAGAGATGGCGCTGTAGTCTCCTGAATCGCGCTTTGGTTCCGTTGTTCCAGATTAATAAATACTTTTGATATTATAAATATGAATACCTATAACTGTTACTTTATTACAAAAAATAAAGATGTGGTTTTTGGTTCTACTACACCAATGGTCAAGAGATGGCGCTGTAGTCTCCTGACTCGCGCTTTGGTTCCGTTGTTCCAGATTAATAAATACTTTTTTTGATAGGCCTTCACAATGCAGTCGTTAGCATCCACTAAATAGAGATTCTATTTCTATTTTGTTGGTAGATTTTCTTAATGTGCGGTAAACACAAAAGTAACGCATGAAGTTGGTCGCTGAAGCGACCAACTTCATGCTGTTAAAATTTTGTGTTACAGTGATGCGCGCGCATCTTAAAATTTCACTCTCATCAATTTTTCATAACGCGCCTAAAGAAGTATAACTTCAAAAACCAAAAGAAATAATTAATTTACCTTTTAATAAGTTTAAAGTGTGTATAAAAACATGTCTCTTTAAGAAAGGTTACTATGCTGTTAAAGATTTCATAAATGATAAGTCACCTTGGGCTTAATATAATAGACTAAGTAGTTTTACTTTGCTAATTTGGTTGAAAATTGTTTAATCGCCACTTCTAAATTTAAAAATAGTACCTAGCTATACTTAACTTTTGTTAATTAATAATATTAATGTGATGGAAGTTGATATCAACACATGTTTTTAATTTTTGATGTCATCTTTCAATTGACGACACTGTATGAAACAAAACAGGGAGAAAAAAAATAGCCCTTGCCGAGTTTCTTGTCGGTTCTTCTCAGTACAAGGTCTCCCGCCGTAGATTTACGAACCGATGGCGTAGCGTTTGACTTTCACAAGAGCTTGTAACAGCCTAGACTGAATAAATGCGTTTGAGTTTGAGTATCTCTGCTCTTATTTGTCTTTGGTCTGCATTCATGTGGTTTTTTATATTGGTTTAAGTCGCCATGTTAAGCAGCTCTCATCAGTACCCCTAGCACGAACCATTATCGAATTCGAATAGTTTGCGAGTGCGAAATGTCAATGTCAAGTTTTGTATGGAAATTTGAATAGCAGCGCCACAAAATACGTAGAGAACTAAAAATAAAAGTACACATTTGACAATGACATTTCGGACACGCAAACGTTACGAATTCGATATTTGTTCGTGCTAAGGGTACTGACGTCAAATAACCGGGCATAATCCAGAGACATTCCTTTTGTTACACTAGCCTCTATTTGACATGACGCTTTTTTAAAGATTTTCAACTCGTATCAGGTAGAGACAGTTAAAAAAGTACAGGGTGAAAAAAAAAACAAGAAATAAAACGAAAGATTATAATAAAAAAATAAATAATGATCAAGGTGTTTACAACAATTTTGTAACTTAAAAATAGGTAGGTACTACACATGTTTTAAAACAAATTTCGTTGCTGACTAAATTTACAATATCTCAGATCACAGTATGACTAATTTGCTTACTAAACTTACCTACTTATTGACTAACTGAAGATTAGTTTTTCTTCTTTCAGTAATATTGTCTCGTGTAGTTATTATGTTAATGTATTAAATTTATTTCTAATAAAAATTTTGCCAAACAAAACATGACTTAATTTCTTACATTTTGTTGTCGATTGTAGGTTAAACACTTCATGGCAAAAATAAAGGGCCACTTTTTTGTTAAACATAAAGAAGATTTCTTTTTATTTAAATAAATATTGAAAATATTTTATCTCATAGCTTTAAACAGTTCATTTATAAAATATACGTACCTATTTGATCTTAAAAGTATAAAATGCAAATTCATCAATAAAAGAAAAATAAAATGTTTTGCTAACGTTGAGATACGAGGTATAGTGTAACTTACGTTACACCAACGTTTCTTGAAGTAGGCGACACTCACATTGAATGTCAGAAGAGCTGGAGTTATTTACCGGCTTGTATTAAAAATAATAAAGTCCAAAAAATCTTCTTTTATTATGATACAGCGATATCTTCAAAATTTCAATATTGAGGTGGCACGATCTTTTTGCAATCAAGCGTATAATACCAAAATAAACCTTTTCATATATTCCTTGCGGCATGCGATTGTTCCTTTAAAATGTGCAAAATAATTAATAACTATAATTTTTTTTTTTTTTTTTTTTATTATTTTTTAAAGCATGTAACTGCTTGATGTTTAAATCTAAAGACTAATTAACTAATTAATAACTGTTGGGAAAGATAATGTTCGAAATTAGTTTATAACAATAGCAGTAAGGTTCTATTTCATATGAACGACTTGCGATGGTTGAGTACCGATCAATTTACTATAATGAGAAAAGTGAGAATATTGAGATTTTGAGATGATACGAACCAATATTGAGAAATGAGAATATTCACGAATAACTAAAAACCGGCCAAGTGCGAGTCGGACTCGCGTACCGAGGGTTCCGTACAAAAATATTCAAAAATATTTTTTATTTTATGATGTAACTAAAAATTTACGGTTTTCGCAATTTTTGCTTTATCTGTACTATAAGACGTTACTTCGTACCAAATTTCAAGATTCTAAGTTCACGGGAAGTACCCTGTAGGTTTTGATTCCCGTGCGAGTTTCGAAAATTTGCGGCATAAATGGCTGTATCTTTTGATTGCTTTGGTTTAGAAGTTTGATTTTTTCACAGCTCCAAGGGACAGTAAACCTGAGTATAAGGTATGAATTTCAGTTTGATACCTCCACGCGTTCCTGAGAAAAACGGTCTTGACAGACGGACGGACGGACAGACGGACAACAAAGTGATCCTATAAGGGTTCCGTTTTTTCCTTTTGAGGTACGGAACCCTAAAAAAGATATTATATTATATTTTCCATATTTTGTAGTACCTTGTTCTAAAGTTTTCGTAAAGTTATGTTAACATACATTACATAGATACAATTTTATTTAAATAAATTTAGAATAAACAAGATAAAGCCACACAATTAAAGATATTCAATAAAATAAAGACTAATTTTAAAGGATTTTTTGAAGTACTGGGAGCACCTTGTTATTTACATCAAACATGAAATGCTTAAAGCATTTAAAACTCATCATAGACTTTTAAATAAAGATCTAGTTTTGAGTGATTTTGAGACCATATTTTAATATATTTTCAACTAATTTATCTCTTAATATTTATGGAAGCGTAGAAAACAAATACACAACAGGGTACATGCCATTCGGAATATGTGAATAGGTATTTAAAGCTTAGATTTCTTAGGAAACACGGCTGCAAACGTAGTAAAAGCCAATGCAAATCTACTGATAGACAGATAAAAAATTAGATAACATAAAAAGAGGAACAGTTATATAAAGCCTTATTTTAGGACTTCTGAAGTCACTTCTTCATATTCAACGCAATCGTAAGACAATATCAACAAAAAAACATAATTCATTTTTAATTTCGATACAAACTAATAACAACTTCACTGAAAACTAAAAAAGATTTACTCAAAAATACATGAAAAATCTTTCAAAGTCCATATATAATTAATTAATATCTTTTAAAGTAAATTTTGATGATTTTTCAACACACAATTACGTTTACGCCAGTATAAAATACAAGTTCATCATTCCATTCAAAACTTTATTACAATATACTTAAAGTTGATTATGAAAATAAATATTGGACCCATTTCCATTTGCATAGCAATTGAAAAGTTTAATATCATAGAATTTGATTCATAAACTCTTTGCTTTTAAATCGCCAGAGAGAAACAGTTCTTATTGTTAAAATATAAAAGTTTATTATTCATTTAATTGTTCCTTAAAGTATTAATCAGTATCAGTTATAATAACAGTCTCTAAACATTTTTTCATAATATCACCACATTTGTTAGACAAACATTACCAAATCACAATCAAAAATCATCACAAGAATCGCACCATATAAACTCCTATTAGCACATGTTCATTTTCAACATGCAATTATGAACCTTATCGCCAACCTATAAGACTCAGACACTGCTCTTCACAATTTGCACAATGTCCATTATTTCTATATGCAATTATGAACCTTACCTCCAACTTATAAGACTCAAACACTGCTCTTCTCAATTAGCACAATGTCCATTATTTCTATATGCAATTATGAACCTTATCTCCAAGTTATAAGACTCAAACACAACTCTTCTTAATTGGCACGAAGTCCATTATTATTATATACGCAATTACAAAATTGTCATCGACAAACAACTCAAATACATAGCGGAGTCTTTTATCATATACATATGCAATTGTGAACCTTATTTCTAACACAAAAAGAATCAAACACCGTTCCTTTCAATGCCAGTCATGTCCAAACTCTCATCGTCAGATACTTCATAGCCTGTATTGTTATCGACGCAAGGTTCATTATTAGGGTAGTCGTTTCTTAAGGCCTTTTCTAGAATCTTCTCTAGTTTGGGCTGGATGTCCCCTAAGTGGGCTCTTTGCGAAGGTTCCGAAGCCCAACAGGATTCCATGACTTCCCAACATTCGTCTGAAAAGTGCGGAAGGCGTTCCGGCCTAAGTCCCCTTTTAACTTTGCTCCATAGCTGTTCCTTGTTTTGGAAAATCTCGAAAGCTGAGGGTAGTTTGATGTTACCCGCACAGACGTACCTGGGGAGAATTAGTATGGGTTAATTGAGGACTTTTAAGGCCAAACCCGGAGACGAGACATGATATTTTTCCTTTTTTACTTCCATTGGAAGAGAAAATATTAGCACCGAATTTTATGGGTTGGGTGGGAGTGAGAGTTAAGTGGCGTAAAAGTATGTTACATTATTATGGTAGTAATATTGTATACCTATTTATAGGTCATCATCAGCCTATTAAAAAATATGTATATACTGAGGGTATTCAAATAATAAAAATAACTCATCAAAACAGTATATCAAAGGCGTGAACATAAACCGAGGCATCATATTCCCCAGAGAGTAGCACGGGTGCCATATCCTTACTATGGAACCTGGAGATTATTTAAATGGCAAAATATATAACTCACCAGAACAATATACCGAAAGCGTAGACATCCACAGAAGCATCATATTCCCCAGCCAATAGCTCGGGTGCCATATGTACAGGGGTTCCAACTACGGACCCTGACATTAGGGCTTCGGCTGCGCAGAATCCGAGGTCAGAAAGAGAGGCCCGATCATTCTCGTCTAGTAAGACATTTTTCATCTTTATATCGCGATGGACGAGGCCGAATGAGTGCAGATAACGAATGCCTATAGAAAAAACACAAACTTAAGTAAAAACTAGCGTAGTTTTTCTGCCTTGCAGCTTAAGAAAGGCTAGAAGGAATTCGACACGGCCATCAGGGCCGCGGTAGCATAATGATCAGTGCATTCGCCCGGAGTGATTCGTTCGGGTGAGGCGAACTTGAGTTGAGTGGGAGATATAAGCAAGAGAAAGCAGTGCGCGCGCACATTTTCTTTCTCTCTTTCTGTTATAGCTAATAAATGAAATACGTATGTGTACAAACGTGTATATATTGTTTGTATTGTATTATTTAAATGCGTGTGTAATTTTAGAATAATTTCCGTTTCGCCACATAGATTTAAAATGCGAACAAGAATTGAGACAAAAACTTACAGAAGCGGAAAGAAAAATAAAGCAAAAATATTCAAGTAGCTTCAGACAATTAAAACATAACTTCTTTAGCTCCATCTGTATGTATATATATATATGTATGTGTGCACAATATATATATATATATATATATATATATTATGTCACAAAAAAAGACTGCAAAATACCTACTACTAATGAAATCATTAAAAATTCACAAAAAAAAATATAACTCCAAAACTAAGAAAAATTGCGGAGCATACTGGAACATGGGGTATATTCGGATACGCCCAGGTGTGAACAATCCAAAAAAATTTTTTTTGATGTCACTAATTGGACCAACCTATACATGTATATGGTTGTCTGGCCTTTCATATTTCGTCCGTCGGTCCATCCTTATCTGTCCCAAAGGAAGTTCCACTTAAAATAACACTCACCCTCAACAATGTCGCAGCTGATCCTCATCCTGGCAGCGAACCCTAGCCCGGCCCTTACGGCGGCGTGCAGATCTCTCACTTTCCTCTTAGACACTAGCAACACCCCCGGCCCCGCCTCTCCTGTCCAGAGACGTTGACGCCGCGGTTTCAGGTCCAATCGTGCGGTTCATTCTAATATGATCCTTATGCAATGCGCCGTAAGGCTGAAAGTGCAACAAAAATGAATGAATAAACACTCACCCTCAACAATATCGCAGCTGATCCTCATCCGGGCAGCGAACCCTAGCCCAGCCCTCACAGCGGCGTGCAGATCCCTCACTTTCCTCTCGGATACTAGCAACACCCCCGGCCCCGCCCCTCCCGCCCCTCCCGCCCCGTGTCGCTGGACCACGGACCCGTAGAGGCGGACTATGCGGGGGTGCGGAGGTATACTCCTGGATATACCAAAATATATTTGCTTTGTTAATATTTGTTTCATTAAATAAAACTAGTTTTTTACGGGTTAATGCACGAAATTTTATTTATTTATTGACGTTTCGTAGCCTTTACGGGCTACGTCGTCAGAATCAAATTTTATTTAATTTTGTCGAGCTACCTTCGAAAGACTTTTATTGAGCGTTCGGTTATTTCAATGTTTGATTTTTAAAATTTTTATTGTCTACGTATGAATTTATTACTAAATTTAGTTAATAAAGTACTTTATTTAAAATTCTTTTTGCAATTTGTGGTTTATTTATTTGACCCTGACTACCGTAAACTACCACCGGTTCCAAAATTGGGAGACCTTCCTGAGAAGAACCGGCGAAACAAAGTCAAGAGAGGCAAAATCAAACTATTACGAAACGTCAATAAATAAATAAAGTTTCGTGCATTCACCCGTAAAAAAACTAGTTTGCTTTGTTAATGTTAACAAAAGGTACAACAATAATTAACATATTAAATATTTCATTGTGCGGGGCACGATACCCAGAAGACTGGCAGCGTTGCCTCGCTGTTTCGCCAAACTAAGTCAAGAGTCAAAAAGCTATCAGATCTTGCTTGGGTCCCCCGTAGCCTTGCAAAAAACCTATTAATTAAGGTTGACTTGCAGCTATTTTGCTAAATCTCAATGAGACTCGATTTGGCCATACAATAATGTCATATTGTCATAGACGTTTTGATATTTATCTATGGATTAAGGCTCGTTTCAGTTGAATCAATTTTGTGTATTGCAGTGTTCCATATGAAAAAATATTGATAAAAACCCTTTAAAAGACTAATCTTATTATCATAAAAAGTTAAGACATGCGTTTAACCCAAGCTTCAAGGAAATCATACAAAATTTGCCTGAACAAGATTTGTAATTAAATTTTTTAAGCATGCAAGCGTGGAATTTTTCTAATCCTTTTTTTTAGATTTAAACAAGATTTGTAACCGTGCCTAACTTTTTTGTAGTAAAACCGGAAAAGTTGAAAGTTAAAAAGCGTTTAAACACTAACAGCACCTAAGGGCCTAGCCAAGCGTACGTTTGTTAGCGTTTAACATATATTGTTTGAATGTCTAACGAATGTATGATATTGTCATTATTGATAAACATATCATGTGATCAAGGCGAGGAGCTTGATGGAGCAAGTGATAAGCGCGTTTGGCTTCGATCGTTGAAGTTAAGCAACTTTCGCAGTGGTCGGTCATTGGATGGGTGACCAAAAATTTACTATCTCTCACTCTTCCATGCTTCGGAAGGCACGATAAGCCGTCGCTCCCGGCTGCATCTGCAGTCGTCAGCTCCCGCCAATCCGCACTGGGCCCGCGTGATGAGTCACGGCCCAATATCCCTATTCCATAAGTTCAGGCCTGTGCCTTAGCAGTGGGAACATTGATAGGCTGATGATGATGAATACACACTGCCAAGGGGGAAGATCTTCCTCCAAGCTAAGCGATGTTAGCTTGGGGACCGCGGCCAGACTAATGTTGGTCGGGCATCGTATATATAGTGTTAGCCTCCAAACTTCTCTTGCGCGATGTAGGCTTTCATACGTCGTAGGCGCAGCGCCGGTAGTGCCATCTCTCGAGGTGGCGAGTGAGTATTTGTTTCATGTTGATTGTACGTGGGGCACGTAGATGTGGAGGCCACACTCACACTCACCTGGTATAGAAGAACTCCATGGCCAGCTCGTGGTAGTGCCGCTCGTCGGCCGGCAGCACCGACTTCACCGCCGCGGGGCTGCGGCCCGCCCACCCGCCCCGCACCGAGTATACCACGCCGTATTGACCGCGACCTACCGAATAGATAACACAATAACATATCTAACGATAATAAATATAATCTGTGGGCCAATCGCCTAACCAGATTGCTTTGGAAAACGCTATCGCTTACGATTTCATTTTGTTATTTCTAACCGCCGAAATACCTCACGCTCATTTTCTTTAATATTGTTATTACCAATGCAAAAGAAAAAAAAAGAGCGCGAGGCATTTGAAAACCTCAGGGCGCTAGAAATAACAAAATGAAATCGTAAGCGATAGCGTTTTCCAAAGCAATCCAGTTAGGCGATTGGCCCCCTGGACATCTTCAAAACCACAGTGAACGAGCATTTCCTAGGCAAGCATGTCCCATCCTAGGGTACGGCCAGAGTGCACTCAGATTCAGACTCAGAAAACAAGCTCGAGAAATATACAGTGTAATTTAAGCAGGTTGCCTGCTGCCACTATGGCCACCCTGCTTTAACTACACTGTTTATTTCTCGCGCTTGTTTTCTGAGTCTGAATCTGAATCTGAGTGCCCTCTGGCCGTACCCCTAGGCCTCATCATCGCTTTCCGTCAGGCGAAATTGTGGTCAAACGCCTTGGCTATTATGCGTTAAACAAAACGTATCGTGTTACTACAGGCTTGTAACGAACAGCGCTAAAGGAGAGTGAGGCTCGGAACCAACTAGACTGCCCCTTGACGAATGAACAATAAACTAACAAACGGACAACGCTAAGAACAAAAGTCGACTTAGCTACTACATAACTGCTGTGCGCAGAGTATTGTCCGCGACAAGAGACTTACTGTGTAGTTATAGCACATAGACAGACATGTTAATAATAAGAGCCAACTTCACCGCCGTTGGGACGCGTTGGGCTAGAGACAAGCTAAAATACAATATGACCCCGAGACACATTTGACAGACAGAGTAAACTACCGTATTGACCGTGATCTAAAATTACTAAGACAGACGTGAGCTAAAGGACAATACAGTCTTAGAACGTGACCTTGTGTGTAGAGAAAACAGATAGACAGACGCGTTAAGAATGAGAGCCGACTTCACCGCCGTTGGACTGCGAAACAGAGAGACGTAAGCTAAAAGACAATTTGGCTCCGAGACACATTTGACAGACAGAGCAAACTACCGTATTGACCGGGATCTAAAATTACTAAGACAGACGTGAGCTAAAGGACAATACAGTCTTAGAACGTGACCTTGTGTGTAGAGAAAACAGATAGACAGACGCGTTAATAATAAGAGCCGACTTCACCGCCGTTGGACTGCGAAACAGAGAGACGTAAGCTAAAAGACAATTTGGCTCCGAGACACATTTGACAGACAGAGTAAATAACGCCGTATTGACCGTGATCTAAAGATTACTAAGACAGACGTGAGCTAAAGGACAATACAGTTTTAGAACGTGCCCTTGTGTGTAGAGAAAACAGATAGACAGACGGGTTAAGAATGAGAGCCGACTTCAGACCGTTGGACTGAGGCATACTTATTTTTCCCTGACGGAATATACCACGCCGTATAGGCCACGACCTAACAAATAGATAAGAAGTATTACTACAGGCTTATTTTAACGAAACGAAACGTTCGGCTGCGTTGAAGTTAAGCAACTTTCGCAGTGGTCGGTCGTTGAATAGGTGACCAAAAATTTACTCTCGCTCCTCCATGCTTCGGAAGGCACGTTAAACCGACGGTCCCAGCTGCATCTGCAGTCGTTAGCACTTAGCAATCCACACTGGGCCCGCGTGGTGGGTCACGGCCCAATCTCCCTAATCCATCCATTGGGAAGGCCTGTGCCCCAGCAGTGGGCGACATTAACAGGCTGGTGGTGTGTGTAAAAAATATATTTGTATTCAAAAAATTCAATATCGTTTATTCAGTCTAGGCTGTTACAAGCACTTGTGAATGTCGAATAGCTACGCCATCGGTTCGCAAATCTACGGCGGGAGACCTTGTACTGAGTAGAACCGGCAAGAAACTCAGCAAGGGCTGTTTTTTTTCTCCCTGTATAATTATATACAGAGTCGTCAAATTGAAGAATGACTTCAATATGAGAGAACCCATAAAGTCACTTTCACTGTAGATCACACTAATATCATAAAGACGAAAGTTTGTGAGTGTGTGTGTTTGTTACTTCTTCATGTCTAAACGGCTGGAGCGATTTTAATAAAATTTGGTATGGAGTTAGCTGACACCCTAGAATAACATGACATAGGCTTCTTTTATCCCGAAAAAATGTTAGGTTCTAGAGGGATTTTCAAGAAACTAAGTTAACGCAGACGAAGTCGCGGGCGACCTCTAGTAATGTCGCACCTTTAGAATTGAAGTGACTTAAATAAAAAAAATAGCAAAATGACTTTTAAACGTGAATTGACATAAAAACATGTATTCTATCAGTTTATTAATAATAAACAGGCTCTTTAAGGCCAGAAGAAGACAAAACGTACTATTTTCGTCTCTTTTAAATGACACGCATACCGCGCCTCCCTCAGTATTGAAGTACCCCATTCAGTGTTGCGTGGACATTTATTTAATTTTCCTTTAATTTAGAAAATCATCAATTTTATTAAACTAGCATATTACAAAATTGGTCATCTATCAAATAGTCATCTAACATCAAAAATGAATCGCCTCTATATTAAATAGTTACGTTTTTGTTTAACGTTGTTAAGTAAAAAATGGGCACAAAATGAAATAAGCGAATTATAATAATCTGTTTTCGGAAAACAAGTGACATGTTTTTTTTTGATGATTAATTAACAAGAGTTCTAATTATTTATACAGACTGGTTTAATAAATAATCGCGAAAACAATTCCTATCCTAACATTAACAATAAAAAATATGATAATAAATGTACAACTTGTAGCATTATAATAGAGAAACAAAAAAAGGCCAACTTGTCAATCACATTTATCATGATCATCATTTCAGCCGAAAGACGTCCACTGTTGGACATAGGCCTCCCCCATGGATTTCCACAACGATCGGTCCCATGCTGCCCGCATCCAGCGGCTTCCCGCGACCTTTACCAGATCGTCGGTCCACCTTGTGGGGGGGGGGGGGGGGGGGGGCTGCCAATACTGCGTCTCCCGGTACGCGGTCGCCACTCGAGGACCTTTCCGCCCCAACGGCCATCGGTCCTGCGAGCAATGTGCCCTGCCCATTGCCACTTAAGGTTTGCAATTCTGTGGGCTATATCGGTGACTTTAGTTCTCTTGCGTATCTCCTCATTTCTGATTCGATCACGCGGAGAAACTCCGAGCATAGCCCTCTCCATTGCCCTTTGGGTGACTTTGAGCCTTCTTACAAGACCCATTGTAAGGCGGCGGTATCACATTTATAGCGTTTACCAAAAACAAGAATTTTGGATTAGGTCATTTCAATTCTAAAGGTGCGATATAATAAAGCTTACGTACCTATTTCTCGTCCCAACTCCGGCGGTCCATACATGAGCAGGTCGCATATTGAAGTGCTTTCTAAACACAAGCGGGCGAACGACGGAGCGTATCTGTTGACGATAATATAAATATCATTAAATAGTAGATTATTAACCAAGGGGATAAAGCAGTGTCTTCTGTCGAGGGTGATGATTTAAATAGCGAGCGTAACGAAGGACGTTAAAAACTGAGTGTAGCGAGGGATTTAAGTTCACCCAAGACTAAGACAGCTTTATCACCGAGGAAAACACTCTACTTTTTGTACCATTTGTGAAAAAGTTAACACAATAATAATATGATATAAGCATTTATTAAAAAAAATTACAATTAAAAGTTAACATTCGAAACATTGGTCCAATTAAATACGGCCTCATCGGTTTTCGTAATTTTATTTAATAATCATAACTGCACAATAAATGTGTATTTCTTTTTCAAAATGATGTATTTAAACAAACTAATGATTTATATACAAACTCAATGTTGTAAACACAGATGTAGTTCAGTATAAATTTCGATAAGTATTCCAAATTTAAATCACATTCTCTCCCTAGAGGATGAATGAAATTCAGTACAATTTTCTTTCCCTGTTTTTAACAGATTACAAATGACTATTGTTATGTTCGCTTTTTGTGGCATAGAATGTCACTTTTTTGAGCAAGTGGTACGAAAATGAATATTCATCATTATTTTTTAGAGTTTCTTACTTCTAATAAAAAAAACAAAGCTTTAATCGGATATACTTGTTTAAAGTTATAATTTCTTTCATATATAATGTATTTGATTGACGTTTTGTTTAATATTCACGTAACTATATAATAGGACTTTTATTGTCTGAGAATAAACGTTTTTGAAGTTATACTTCTTTAGGCGCGTTATGAAAAAATGATGAGAGTGAAATTTTAAGATGCGCGCGCATCACTGTAACACAAAAAATTTAGTGTTTACCGCACATTGAGAAAATCTACCAACAAAATAGAAATAGAATTTCTATTTGTGTAGTAGAATTTTTCCATTGGTGTAGTAGAACCAAAAACCACATCTTTATTTTTTGTAATAAAGTAACAGTTACTAGTTTGTATATTCGGAATACGTGTTTGAGTTTCATACAAGTGCAAATCACATATGTTCTAATAAATTATATTCAGTAGCGATTTTAATTGAATATTTTGATTATTTATTTATTTTTTCAAATTAAAACTGAACTTTATTGACTGTGTCCTTTTCCAGACTTTTTATTAATTTATTGTAATTAATTATTTGCATGCAATTAAAAACTAATTTTAAACGATGCCAAAGAAGGATAACTTCTCACGCGCCTACATAACTACACGCACCCATTTTTTGACGTGACAACGTCTTAAATTAGGTTGCGGCTGGGAGTCACTTATGAAAAAGTGTAACGCTCGGTAACGTTACGATGAGTCTCTCGTGTTAAGTTTAAGTTTACATGTACAATGTTTTGACGTGACAACGTCTTAAATTAGGTTGCGGCTGGGAGTCACTTATGAAAAAGTGTAACGCTCGGTAACGTTACGATGAGTCTCTCGTGTTAAGTTTAAGTTTACATGTACAATGTTTTAGTAAACAAAATATATTTCTATAGTTAAAATTTGTGCAATTCTTATTTTCATTCAATTCCTTGTTCCTATTGTGCAATTTAATTATATTCATATCAATAAATATTCTACCGAGAAAAAGACGTTGTCACGTAAAATCTTCGCCCGTAAAACCGACTTTACAGGCAACCATTTTTTTTTATTATTATTAGTATTTGCATGCCATTTGAAATGTTTGAATAGGTATAAGTACAATGCTGTGGATGACAAACCTATGTAATGTATTCTACACTATTAACGGTAAATTAATAATTTCATTTTATTTTTATGGAGCACAGGCTTGCTACTGCCTGTGGAATTCATTAATAAAGCGTAATACTACCCTGCATTTTGAACACAGCAAAGGACTTGTTGTTGAGGAACTCGATGGCGCAACTGGTTAGCGCGTTCGGCTGCGATCGTTGAAGTTAAGCAACTTTCGCAGTGGTCGGTCATTGGATGGGTGACCAAAAATTTACTATCTCGAGCTCCTCGGTGCTTCGGAAGGCACTTTAACAAACTAAAAGCAACGCGAACGAAGTCACGTAAATAATCTAGTAAATAAATAAACAAATTTTATAGTATACAGGGTGTCCCACGGAGGGAAAGTATATTAAATATTGAAGATAGGATATTTTACTGAAAGAAGACGTAATTTTATTTTTAATAATAAGAACTAAATTCAGCTTTTCAATCGCCTCGCCACAACCGGGAATCGAACTCGTGAAATGCGAAAAAAAACACATGTATTAAAATGGAAAGGATAAATCATGAGGATTATTTTTTCCTAAATAACAAAGCATTTTAAATGAAAGAAACGTCATTAAATTAAAATTTTGATCAGGAAAATTTCCTCTTAATTTTCCGTGCTTCCAACAGCTAATGCTGTTATTTCAAAGTATTTCCCTTTCGATGGCTATCATAAAATACGTCGTATTTTTTACAAATTTCACGAGTTCGATTCCCAGTGGTAGCAGGCGCTATAAAAAAACAGTGAATGCTAGTTATTATTGAAAATAAAATGATATCTCCTTTCAGTAAAATATTCTATCTTCAATATTTAATATACTGTCACAAACGCTCTCGAAACGTAACCACGAAAGTGCTAGAAATCGAATTTGCCAGATCACCGCGGGTCGCGATAGAGGTCGAGTAATGCGGCTCATTCTAAAATGAGCCTTATACAGTGCGACTTAAGGGAGAAAGTGCAACGACATCTGCACTTGTTTACAAGTTATGCGCGTTACCTGCGTAGGTATAAGTAGGTACTTCGTACTCGCGGGTGTTAGCTAATTCTCAATTTGACAGGCACTTGCTAGAATGCGTCGATCGGCGTATATAAATAAATAAATAAATATAAATATTTCCAACACTCACACCAATTAGCCTAGCCTCAAAGTAAGCACTATAAGGCTTGTGTTATGGGATACTAGGGTAACGGATAGAATACATATACTGTACATATATAAGTATATTTATATAGAAAATACATATTAAACATCCATGACTGGAGTACAAATGCTCGTATTCATCACACAAACATCTGCCCCCACCGGGATTTGAACCCAGGACCTCTCGAATCGGCGACACCATGAAACCCGGCGTACAAACCACTCGGCCACGGAGGTCGATATAAGCGCGATGGGCGCCGCGCAGAGACAGTTGAATTTCAACAGCTATTTCGAACCCCATCCCGACACGTAACAATACATTCCCTCCGTGTGACAAACCCGTGGGACGCCCTGTATATTGAATTTTTATCATTAAAGTTTTAAAAATAAATCTTATATGAGTCTATTAAGTATTTTTTTTTAAACTTTAAACTCACTTTTTCCTTATAGCTAATTTGATATCTTCGGTGTGATGTAGCCGGTTCGCCAGCACGGTCTCCAAGGAAGTCAGAGCTGATTGGTATCTCTCGTGCGCCATACTCAGTCTTTCTAATATCTGAGAAATAAAAACAATCTATATATATAAAACTCAAAGGTGACTGACTGACATAGTGATCTATCAACGCACAGTCCAAACCACTGGACGGATCGGGCTGAAATTTGGCATGCAGGTAGATGTTATAGATACATAGGCATCCGCTAAGAAAGGATTTTGATCAGTTCTACCCCCAAGGGGATAAAATAGGGAATGAAAGTTTGTATGAAACTGTGTCAATTTTAAACCGATCGGGCTGAGACTGCATGCAGGTATAAGAAGAATCATAGATGAATGTCATTGTGTATAATACAAGCCTGAGAACAAAAACTGTAGTCTACACTTCAGCTCTACACCGAAGCGAAGCGAGGGCGGGCCTCTAGTGTTATTATAAAGATGTAGAAAATTAAAACCCTTAGGTTGAGAGATTTGCATGGAGGTGCTAGTGTAGTATGTGTCCGCCAAAGAATTAGAAATTATATGGAATACGAACTCCGGTAAAGGGATTCCACGTAAACTTTCATATGTACTTTTGCAAGTGTTTAATTGTTGAAGTTCTATCTTTTTTTCTGTAATGAAATGAAGTAAAATTAAAGTTTATTTGCATGAAATAAATAATACATAAATAGTTTCATATGTTTCGCCCTTGAAAGAGCATACGAAATACTAATAAATTATTTAAAAAAATCTAATTTATATTGAGTAGTAGTTGCATTCCAATAATTATACAATATATGTCAAATTTTCTAAGTCTTCAGCCTATAAAATTTTAACAAGTAAGAAAGAAAGAAAAAGAAAGAAAAATAAATTTATTTGAGACAACACACACACAACAAACAGAACAAAACGCACATATTTATTTTTTGTCTCAAATCGGTCCCAACTCAGCATGTGTTGATGTTGCCATCAACGCTGGTCTTCCGTTGGAACCGGTTTAGTGACGACACGAAACAATATCATTAATAAGTAATAAAATAAACATAACAAAATAAAAACAAAAACAACAACAATGTGAGTTCAGGGGGGCGCCACTATCGCCATGTCAAAATTGGTTGCACCCGGAGCGCAGGTTCCGAACGCGGCCCCGACTGACATTGCCATTCAGAGACAATCTTACTAATCTGTGTACCTATTGTACTTCTCATTATTTTTTCTTTTTTCTTTAAAAATGTAATCTACTATTTAGACAACAATTTACATACAAGAAATATCTTCTGATTAAATATTAAATACCTATAAAATAAACAAACTTCGGATACACATGTAAGTTGAACATCTTCTCACAATCTTTAAATTGCACTAGTATCATGTAAGTGTTTCCTCTGATTTTTGATGCATATTAGGTAAATTGCGTAATTTTATTCTAAATAATTTGACATTTTGCAGGCCCCTAATTGGAGGAGGTATATTATTCCAGCATCTGGTTGCTGCATAGCGGAAACTACCTCGAAAAGCAGCAGTTGCATGAAAGGCCGTTGACAATTGCAAAGCCAGTCTCCGGGCACCATATGGCTTATCATTTGACATCACGGAGAGCTTGTTATAAAGATAGGCAGGTGTTTTATGCCTAATTATGCCAAACATTAAACAAGCCAAATGCAGTTTCCGACGTATGTATGTATAGGTACCTGCATGGAGATGAGCTTGGCGAGTCGCTGGGGGCTGAGTGTGTTGGCAGTATGCAGCGCCACGTGTCGGCGCCACGCGGGGCTTAATCCACAACACGCTGATTGCCCGTCACCGCCGCCAATGCGGAGTCTGGATAAAGAATAAAATGACACCATACAATAGCGTAAAATAAGTTTCAACGGTATAAATGCACTGATTTATTTATTTATCGACGGTTTGCATCCTCTTCAGGCTTATAGTAATCTTATCAGTCTTATCAGAAATATAATTCTGACGACGCAGCTTGAAAAGGTTGCGAAACGTCAATCTATATATATAAAACTCAAAGGTGACTGACTAACATAGTGATCTATCAACGCACAGCCCAAACCACTGGACGGATCGGGCTGAAATTTGGCATGCAAGTAGAGGTTATGACGTAGGCATCCGCTAAGAAAGGATTTTGATCAATTCTACCCCCAAGGGGATAAAATAGGGAATGAAAGTTTGTATAAAACTTTGTCAATTTTAAACCGATCGGGCTGAGACTTTGCATGCAAGTATAAGAAGTATCATTGATGAATGTCATCGTGTATAATACAAGCCTGAGAACATAAACTGTAGTCTACACTTCAGCTCTACACCGAAGCGAAGCGAGGGCGGGCCGCTAGTAATTAAATCAGTGCATCTATACCGTTGAAACTTGTTTTATTTTATGAGTAGTAAGCATGAAAACCTAAGATACAAATACATACATTAAGGTATTGGACAAGATTAAAAAAACGATCTCACGTCATTTATTAATATTTATGGAGTCCATAGAAAGTGGAAATTCTTCATACTGTTTTTTATTTCAGTAAAAAGAGCTAAATAAAAAACGCAATTTTCAAATTGCCGTGTAAACGTTTCCCTGGATATAATAGCGCCTCCCTGTTACCTGACGTCACACAACTGTCATTTAAACGTAAAACGATACAAATGTCACTCGAACTGAAAGTTTACTAGCGTGTGACGAAATTTTCGGCTCCGCCAATCCTAAGCGCTTTTGATCACGTGACATTATATAAGAAAACTATTATATTTTTCGCGGGCTTTTAGTAAAATTGTGCCATGCCAATATTCATTGTAAATACCGATGTTAACAATAAAATTGACATTTTATTTTTGTCCAAATATCCAAATTTCAATAGGGTAGATGGTTCGTATATACCACCAGCTTGGGAACCCATTATACAGGAGATAAAATCCCAACCCCGAGCGCACACTGCAAGATCAACAGATACTGTTAGATCTTTTTGTTTCCATGATTTAACATAAGAGGGAGATAGAATCTCTCGTTCTCTCCCTCTCTGGGTTTGTTTCGCCGGTTCTTCTCAGAAAGGTCTCCCAATCTTGGAACCAGTGGTAGTTTAAGGTAGTTACGGTCAAATAAATAAACTCAGAATTATAAGAAGAATTAAATCAATTACTTTATTAATTAAATTAACTAATAAATTCAAGCATATTCAATAAAGTTTTAAAAATCTTCCAATGAAATATCCGAACGCTCAATAAGTCTTTGAAAGGTAGCTCGACAAACTAAATAAAAAAATCATTATTCTGACGAGGCATTCCTGCAAAGGATGTCAATAAATAAATAAATTCAGTACATCTAACCCGTTACAACTTTATATTATTCATTTAGCGTATAGATTAGACTTGCAACGAATATTCGGTTACTATTCGGTATTCGGCCTATTCGGCTGTTTTTATTATATTCGGCCGAATACCGAATATCTACATAGTATTCGGCCGAATACCGAATACTTAAATAATATATTTTGTCATAGAAAAATAATTGGTAAAATGAAAAATTAAAATCGATTGATTACGTATATATTCATATTTTCATTATATAGGTATAATCATTTAAGTAGTCATTGGTACATAACACAGGTACATAATCATCCTCTGAATAGGAAAAATGGAGGATTCTATGTATTTGAATTATTGTGGTAATCAAAATTTAGAAGGGTAAGGTTCTCATTTCTTTTATAATCATTTATTAAGTTGTCATTGGTACATAAAACAGGTACATAATTTAATCATTTTCTGTATTAAACAAATTAACAGTTTTTAATTCATTCAGTCATGTGATGAATGGTTACATAATAGCAATAATTTAAAGTTTATGCGCCGTTTATGGCCATATCTCAAAAGTTGGTTTTGTAATTTATCTGCATTTTAGCTTGAGGACGGCAGAATAGAACAAAACAAAGGAGCGCGAAACAATCACTTCTGTACAAATTCTTGGCGCTAAAATCCAGCCGAATACCCTATATTGCCTAATATTCGGCTATTCGGTCAGGGGCCTCGCCGAAATCAGAAATCAGAAATCAATATATCTTTATTCAAATTGGATGTATAGTACAACACTTTTGAATCGTCCAAACATTTTTTTCCCCTACCACTCGTTATTGGACATATTTTTTAGCTGCGGAGAAAAACGAGCGAAAAAAACTCCACAACATTAAAAGCATAATGTAACAACATTTACAAATCATTATGTTGTTACAACGTCAATACAATCATGATTTATTTAATATAGAAAACCTGTTGGAATGATTGGAACAGTTCAAACCCAAGCATTTTTGTCTGTAATATAATCAGACACTTTGTAATAAGCTTTTTTAATAAGTGCTTTTTTTATACTATCTTTGAATTTATTTATGCTTAACTCTTGGATATTGCTTGGGACTTTATTGTATAAGCGAACACAAAGACCTTTAAATGAATTATTGATTTTGTGAAGCCTAGTAGTAGGTAAAGTTAGTTTATTTTTGTTTCTTGTATTAAGTGTGTGAACATCACTGTTTTTAAGAAACAAATTAATATTTTTTCTTACAAGTAATAAATTTTCGTAAATGTATTGTGATGCGACCGTCATTATACCAAATTCTTTAAACCTATCTCTTAAGGAATCCTTAACTTTAAGATTATAAATTGATCGAATAGCTCTCTTCTGCAGCACAAAAATAGTTTGAATGTCGGCGGCGTTTCCCCACAATAAAATTCCGTACGACATTACACTATGGAAATAACTAAAGTATATATTGTTTTAAACTTTCATGGTCACTAACATTATAGTAATATAAGTTATTTACGGGATTGTTACCATGTACCTTGTTTTTAGCGAGTTTCCGATATTTCGGCACTGTTGCAAGCGCCATGATCACGGAGTAACTGAAGTAATTGCGGGTAGGCTGTTATTGGCAGACATATCGGTCTACCCTCCGACGAAGTCTTTTGCCAAGCTGTTGCATCATTGTTTGTCGATGAATTTCTTCATATATCAGGGTCAGTACTACCTCCAAATAGATGGGGTCGCAATGGGCAGTCCCGTGGCTCCAGTGGTTGCCAATATATGGATGGAGCATTTTGAAGAAAAATCATTTATCACCGCACCCACAGAAATAAAACTATGGAAGAGGTATGTCGATGACGTATTCTGTATATTAAGAGGTAACAAACATGATGTCGAGTCTCACTTGGCAAATTTAAATGGTATCCATTCTAAAATCAACTTTACCTATGAGATGGAAGAAGACAGAAGTCTGGCCTTTCTGGACGTGAAGATTCGGGTGAGGAATGACGGTTCGCTTGGTCATTCCATTTACCGCAAATCAACACACACTGACCGCTATCTCAACGCCTCCTCGCATCACCACCCTAAACATCTTAACTCTGTAATGACTTCACTGACGAACCGTGCATATGACCTGTGTGATGAGGAACATCTTCAAGAAGAGTTGGAGCATGTACGACGAGTCTTACAGAGTAATGGATACCAGGGACATCTTCCATCAAGACACAAACTAAGACACCAGAGACACAGAGTAGACAGACAACCTGTTTATTTACCATACGTCAAAGGAGTGACTGACAAGATCTCAAACATACTGAATAAGTACTCACTAAACACTGTCTTCACTCCTGTGCGAAAGGTTTCACAATACCTACGGTCTCCTAAAGACAACTTCCCCTTGGAGAAACCTGGTGTCTATAAGATCGATTGCAGCTGTGGCAGTTCGTACATTGGCCAAACAAAGCGAACAGTATCATGCCGAATGAGGGAACACATAAAAGCAATCAAGAACAACGATACGCAGAAATCAGCCATCGCGGAACATTTGATTGATTCTGGTTCTAACCACTGGATTGAGTTTCATAACCCACAGATTATCTCGACAGAACGCCACTACATACCAAGATTGGTCAGGGAAGCGATTGAAATAACAAAACATAAAAATTTCAATCGTGAGGACGGGTTTAAATTGTCGAGTGTCTGGAATCCTGTGGTTCGTATGTGTAAAACCGGAAATAATCAAAAAAGTGTCGTGTCGCGATCCGATACTGTAAGTGTTGTGTGTCGAGAACAGTTTCGAGTGAATAGTGAGAATGTGAACAGTGGTACGGGTCGCAATAAAAGACTTCGTCGGAGGGTAGACCGATATGTCTGCCAATAACAGCCTACCCGCAATTACTTCAGTTACTCCGTGATCATGGCGCTTGCAACAGTGCCGAAATATCGGAAACTCGCTAAAAACAAGGTACATGGTAACAATCCCGTAAATAACTTATAACTAAAGTATACTAATCTGGCCGTATCTACATCCGTTAACTGGCGTATCTTCATTACGGCATATGCCGACTAAGTCTATTTGACAATTTATCAATATGTGGGCCCCATTGAAGCTTAGAATCTAAAGTAATCCCTAAGAATACTGTGGTGTCTACAAGGCCCATATTCCTATCCTTTACGAATATTCGGTATACTGCCGAATATACTATTCGTTGCAAGTCTAATATAGATATATAGTTACATTTTTTTAAAACTTTATACTAAGTGTACGGTACACCTAGAGTTGATATGATAAGTAAAAGACGATATAAGAATTTAAACTATTTATTACTATATAAAAACTGATACTAAGCTATGATAAATGATTGATAGATGAGTGCGCGCCCGCCGCGATCGGTAAGGAAACGTGAACTGTTGCAATTTTGTAATTATTAACACAATTATGAAAAGTGATGACTTCGCAAGATGTACGCTTGTACCGTACATGCTCCCGGCCTAAATCCGGCTCGAAGGACCATTTAGATGTACGGTACACCTAGAGTTGATATGATAAGTAAAAGACGATATAAGAATTTAAACTATTTGAGTGAAGTGAAGCGAAAAGTGATGACTTCGCAAGATGTACGCTTGTACCGTACACTTAGTATATAAGAAGCGGCATTAAGTAGGTACCATATCACTGTTATGAAATATGACTAATACCCATTAAATAACAAATTACAAGAAACACTATGCCCATTACAATAACCCTTATTCATAAGAGTATTCTTGATCTGAGATATAAATTTGATCAGTGGAAGCTAAATCAGATCTTGGGAAACTTTGTTAAACAATGCAATACTACAACCCAGAAATGAGCCTCTTGATTTTTGGAGTCTGAAACCAGTATCAATTATGATATCATTCTTATAAGTATAATTTGTTTAATATATCATTTATTTTATATCAGGACTTTCACTTTATCAACTCTATCATAAAACGGTGAGCAAACCGTACAACGTATATAAATAACTAGATTCAAAATTCAGCTCAAAAAGTGTCGTTAGCAAAACTAAGCACATTTTTCTATTGTGCGTAATTCAATCAGTAGTTTTTCGACCGCGTCTTGATAACAAACGCCACGCAATGACAAAGCGTTCGGTTATAATTATAAAGTGCAAATTACACCAGCCTACCAAGCATGAGCACCGCGATATGATAATGTTACGTGTCGGGATGGGGTTCGAAATCATATGCCAGTTCACGCTTGACAGTTCTTTATTCACCACACAGTTCACACAATTAACACACAATGTTAATTACAAAACACTCACTAAACACTGTATTTCACTATACAAGTCTCTAAACAATCGCACTTGAAAACTTGACACACAACACACACAACACAACAATAAATTTAAAATAAAAAAAAAAGATTTATATTGTTTAAAAATTATAATTTATTTATAAATAATTTTAATTTAATTAAAAATTTAAAGAAAAAATAAATTTTAATAAAATAAGTTAAATTATAATGATAAAATTAGTATTTATAAATTTTTAAATTAAAATTAATAATTTAAATAGATAATATAAAGGAATTTGGCAAAATTTTATATTTACTTGTTTATCAAAAACATGTCTTTTTGTAATATAATTTAAAGTCTAATCTGCCCACTGATGAATATTAAAGGGCTGCAGTAATTTGACTGTACAAAGGTAGCATAATCAATAGTCTCTTAATTGGTGACTTGTATGAATGATTGGACTGCTCTGTTGCACTTTGATCGCCTTTGGATTCGCTCCGAAATCGCTGTTGAAACTCAACTGTCTCTGCCCGGCGCCATTCGCGCTTATATACGCCGATCGACGCATTCTAGAAAGTACCTGTTAAATTGAGAATTGAATTACCTAGCACCCGCGAGTACGAAGTACCTACTTATACCTACGCAGGTAACGCGCATAACTTGTAAACAAGTGCAGATGTCGTTACACTTTCTCCCTTACGCCGCACTGCATAAGGCTCATTTTAGAATGAGCCGCATTACTTGACCTCTATCGCGACCCGCGGTGATCTGGCAAATTCGATCTCTAACACTTTCGCGGTTACGTTTCGAGAGCTTTTGTGACAATAAATAGCTCGTTTTTATCACGCTCAATGAGGGCTAGCGTTTTCTGCCTCACCAGATGGCGCCACTGTTGAGTGAGGTCCTAAATTGTAACTTTTAAAGTTTATTAATACGCACATGAAATCAAAGGTTACATTTAGATCGTATTTTAACACAAAAGAACCATATCCTAAACATAATAGGCCATGCCACAGTGACGCGCAGTTCCGTTTTATTCGGAAAAAATGGGAACATAATCATTTTTCTAAGCTCAAACTTTTACTAACTGACATTCATTGCCACATAACTCATATTTGCCATAATTAAGCCGAATTGTTACCAATTATTCACAACATTATTTTAATTAGAAATAAACCCGCGTAGTCAACCAACAAGCAATAAAATTTGACATTTCGGAGACCTCTCGCTACACTAGCGCCTCTAGCGGCGGACTCATACGCGATAGCCCTCATTGTCGAAATACTATAGATTTTGACAGTTAGGCGCGATAACAAACGTATTATATATAATGTAAATTGTGGTACTCATGCTACGGGGACTGATCCACTCTTAAAAAACACGCAGTATTGTATATAGTGCTGATAAGTTCCTTGCGCCCATTCTTCTTGCCAGCCAAAAGATGTCCTGAATGTGTGGTAGAGAAAAATATTGGACGATTCAAAAGAGCTTTCTATAAGTCAATAGGATATTTGACAGTATTAAAAACAAAGAGCCAATTGTTAGCATCTATGTTTAGAATGAATATTGGGAGGGATTTTCAGTATTTTTACAGAAAAAATATTCATAATTTTACTAAAATCCCACGAAAAAGATAATAGTTTTCTTATCTATTGTCACGTGACCTAATATGCTTGGGATTGGCGGAGCGCTTTCTATAAGTCAATAGGATATTTGACAGTATTAAAAACAAAGAGCCAATTGTTAGCATCTATGTTTAGAATGAATATTGGGAGGGATTTTCAGTATTTTTACCCTACACTAAACACTAAAACCCCACGAAAAAGATAAAAGTTTTCTTATCTATTGTCACGTGACCCAATACGCTTGGGATTGGCGGAGCCTAAAATGACGTCACACGCTAGTAACTTCCGATTAAAGTGACATTACATTGTATCGTTTGACGTGTAAATAACAGTCGTGTGACGTCACACACTAGTAAGACGTCATATTGTCCAGAGAAACGTTTTCGCGGCAACTTGAAAATGGAGTTTTTGATTTGGTTATTATTACTGAAATACGACAACAGAATGATGAATATCCACTTTTTACGGACTTCATAAACATTAGTCAATAACGTGAGATCGTTTTCTAAAACTTGTCAAATAACTTTCCAATAGAGTATAATTTCATTTCATTTCAAGTGTATCCTATTTATTTAAGCATGTAACTGCTCGATGTTGAAAATATTACTAGAAAAAATTCCGCGCGGACCAGGCAGCAGACGGGACTCGAACCCGCACCCGCACCCGTCGCTATCCGGGCGAAGGCACCGACCATTACTCTACCGCAGCCCTGACGGCCGTGTAGAATTCTTTCTAGCCTTTCTTAAGCTGCAAGGCAGCGCCATCTCTTCTCATCGTAGGTAACCCACAATAAGCGTATCTTTCTCTCAATAAAGACTCACCTATAAAGCAGTCTTCTTAGAGAATCGAGTAATGATCGTAGAAGCGAGAAGGAAGCGCAAGGTTGCAAGTCCACTTGTCTAGCGACGGATAGCAGCTGGCGCATCGCCTCGCTCGCGGGACGACCGCCTAGTTCCTGACGACACGACGACTCGAGGGTCTCCAGACATCTGTAAACAATAATAAACTAGCAAACCAGTGAACCAAATCATCATCAGCCTATTAATGTCCCCACTGCTGGGGCACAGGCTTCCCTATGGATGGAATAGGGAGATTGGGCCATGACCCACCACGCGGGCCCAGTGCAGGTTGGTGGGTGCTAACGACTGCAGATGCAGCCGGGACCAACGGCTTAACGTGCCTTCCGAAGCACGGAGGAGCTCGAGATAGTAAATTATGGTCACCCATCTAATGACCGACCACTGCGAAAGTTGCTTAAATTCAACGATCGCTGCGGAACGCGCTAACCACTTGCGCCATCGAGCTTTTTTGGTGAACCAAATGTTCACCAAAAAAAAAAAAAAAGTATATAATTAATTGAGAACTTCGGAGATTTTGTGTGGTTTCGTTTGAAATAGAAATCACGTGATTTCTCGAAAACCGAGAGTGCTACGTTACTCACATCCGGTTTGTAGTCTTATCAGACTATTATTAACTTATAACTTAAACATTCTCTATATCTATTCTTACGGTTTGGCCGCTGAAACAACACCACGGACGGACGGACTTGTCTATTAGATAAAAGATAATCATTATAAATATTTCCAACACTCACACCAATTAGCCTAGCCCCAAAGTAAGCACTGTAAGGCTTGTGTTACTAGATACTAGGGTACCGGATAAAATACATATACTGTACATATATAATTATCATCATCATCATCATCAGCCTATTAATGTCCCCAATGCTGGGGCACAGGCCTTTCCTATGGGAGATTGGGCCATGACCCACCACGCGGGCCCAGTGCGGATTGGCGGGTGCTAACGACTGCAGATGCAGCCGGGACCAACGGCTTAACGTGCCTTCCGAAGCACGGAAGAACTCGAGAAAGAAGATTTTTGGACACCCATCCAATGACCGACCACTGCGAAAGTTACTTAACTTCAACGATCGCAGCCGAACGCGCTAACCACCTGCGCCATCGAGCTCCACGAGATATATAATTATATTTATATAGAAATACATATTAAACATCTATGACTGGAGTACAAATGCTCGTATTCATCACACCAATATCTACCCCTACCGGGACTCGAACCCGAGACTTCTCGAGTAAGCGACACCTTGAAACCTAGCATTGAAACCACTCGACCACGGAGGTCGTCAAATTCATCATTCTGTTGTATACTTCAGTCAAGATAAAATCACAATAGTACGGAGTAACTGAGACTCCGTGATCGTAAATATCGAAAAGTCGCTAAAACAATGTACATACCATGTACTTTGTATCCCGTAAATTTCCCGTAAATAAGATAAATTATTAAAAACATAATTAATTACTTATGTCAATGTGAATTATATTTATGAAAAAGTACCTCTGCAACGTTCCAAAGTAAGTGTCCTTGAGGCAATCGACGAATTTGATGAGCTTCAGACTTATTTTGCGACTCAGCTTCGACAGAACTGTATACAAAAACGTTAAGTAAATACTTAAAATAATTTAATACAATTTATAATTTTTATTTTTGAAGCATGTAACTGCTTGATGTTTAAATGTAAAGAAAATATAACCTGAAAAAAATTTCACGCGGACCAGGCAGCAGACGGGACTCGAACCCGCACCCTTCGCAATCCGGGCGAATGCACTTCAAAAAACAAAAAAAAATCAAGTTATATTTTCTTTAATACAATTTTCCATTTTTGAATTGAAACTTCTTTACGCACGTTTAACTTGGGGGGTAAGCTGCGAATGCGTTACGCGTTATGAAAAGTGTGTTCGGGCGAGGCGAACAGGTGTTTAGTGGGAGATATAAGCAAGAGAAAGCAGTGCGCGCGCACATTTTCTTTCTCTCTTTCTCTTATAGCTAGTAAATGAAATATGTATACATGTAGATATTGTACACACGTATATATATATATATATATATATATATATATATACACGGCACGGCCGTCAGGGCCGCGGTAGTATAATGGTCAGTGCATTCGCCCGAATAGCTGCGGGTTCGAGTCCCGTCTGCTGCCTAGTCCGCGTGGATTGTTTTTTAGTTACATTTCCTTTACTTTTAATATAATCCATATTTATTTCAAGAATGTCGTTTTCCGGGACTCAAACTATACCAAATTTCATCCAAGTCGGTTCAGCAGTTTAAATGTGGAGAGGTAATAGACAGACATACTCTTGCATTTATTATGTGAATATAGACACATACCAGTCTGCTGTACATCTAACGAGGCCTGCTTGAAGGATACAGAAGTACCGTGGCACGCGGTCACCCATCCTGATCGTGACCACACGCTGGACATCTCGCCTTCGTTCTCCACGCGGATGGATTCCACCGGGGAGATAATGATGCTGTCGTCTTCTTTAATCTGGGAGGCGATATTTATTTTATTAAAAAAAAAGGTAAATTTAAAAAATCAAAAAACCCGACTGCTTAATTATTCTTCAAATAAAAACTGAAAAGAAAAAAACAAGTCCAGTAGTCTATAATTCTGTTAATAAGGAACAAAGCTACTTTAACAGTCGGGACCCATTAGATATTCAAGAATACATAATATTTTTCAACAGTGGGTCCCGACTGTTAGAGTAGCTTTGTTCCTTATTAACAGAATTATAGACTACTGGACTTGTTTTTTTCTTTTCAGTTTTTATTTGAAGAATAATTAAGCAGTCGGGTTTTTTGATTTTTTAAATTTGCGCCTTTAGCGCATAATAAAATTTTCATAACGTTAGGTAGAGCACCATAGCAATCTCATTTATTATCAATTTATAGTTCTCTTTGTAGTTTTCTTTTAAAGCGTTCACATTTAACAGGTCAAAGACTTTGTGTTCGACCCTTTTCTATTGGTAGTGTAAAGTTCGAATGAAGAGTACTCCCAGTAGTGCAGTCATGGCAATTATTTTCCAATTTTTTTTTGTTATAAAAATACCGAATAGCGTATCACTGTTAAGCACAAATGCTAAGTTACTTTTACAAATATAATCAAATAAACCTATTACTTACATTATTTTTAAATCCTTTTCATCAATTAAATACTTATCTTATCCTAACTATCTATACTAATATTATAAAGAGGCAAGATTTGTATGTTTGTAACAAATAATCTGTCAAACTACTGAACCGGTTTCAAATATTAATTCATCTTATGGTAGCTACATTATTTATTATAACATTTTTCTTTATTTAAATACATTTTGTCCGAGTGACAAAAGTAGGGTATATTTTATCCCGATTAATAAATTTCGCCCGTACAATGCCCGAGTGGACTATTTAGTATAATATAATATTATAGATGCGAAAGTGAGTTTGTTTGTTGCGCTTCCGCGCACCTAATAGCTAAATCGAATTTAATGAATTCCCATATAGAAGTAGATGGGAACTTCGTTCTTAGCTACAACATCGCAATACTTATAGGCGTAGGGTGATGAAAGGGGTGATTTACCTATAAAAATCTACATTATTTACTTTGAATTTTGCAGAATTATTACAAAACCAATATTATCGCGAGCTGATTAATAAATACAGAGATTTCAATAAGTATGTACTTACTAGCGAAAAATGGGTTATTTGTCATTATATTAAGTAAACCTTTTTTGTAACATTAAGTAATATCGTTAAAAAAAATGAAAAACAGTAAAATTCTGAGTTTTTCATTAAAATTCAATAATCATAAATACCTATTATGATAATATATTTTTCATCATTTAATAAGAAGGAACTGTATCACAGTTTTAATGTTAGTACTTCGTATAGGATCAGATACTGCGAATATCCCTTTTTTTTCTTTTACATAGAACACCGCGCTATCACTTTGTCATCGTTGTAACTTTTTAAATATTTGTCGAAATGACATAGTGTAAAAAGCAAAGTTTATCGTCTTTAAATATCAAAAGCGATTAAAATGTTTGTTTTGATAAAAAATGATTTGTTAATACAAATGTGCATTTGGGAAATAGATATCAAATAATATTTTAGTTTTGTTCACTATTTTAGCGGTAATGACTTACACATTAAAAATAAATATATGGTGTCACGGACTTTTTTTTAGAACTATTTAAGAGATACATTTTTCATTCTACATTACATTCATGTAACTTTTATTGTTTTTGCAGTGCAGGCCAAAATGCCTCGCAGATGGGACATTTTTTTCCGTCTTATGTGACACTTATTGCTATATATTGGCCAATTCACTCAATAACTACATAAATTATTATATATATGTAATTATCATATATGAGCTATATTACTGTTAAGTTTCATTAAACTCCATTCAGTATTTTTTAGGTGAAAGAGTAACAAAAATCCATACAAACGTAAGATTGAAATTAAAAGTGGAAGTGGTTAATATACAACTTTAAAGCGTTGTAGATCCTAAACAATCATATAAAATGAAAAATGGTGTTAGAAACCTAAATATGATTTTTGATTATCTAGACAGTGATACCCCACTCGACATATTTTGTCAACTTATTTTTTTTACTTCGTCACAATATGGCGCCTTATTTTGCCCATATTGAATTTTGATTACTATCATATCTTTAGTAGCACTCCCATGATTGAGACGAATCGATTGATGTATGAATCATCAAAATCGGTCCAGGCGTTTGGTCTCTAGTGTGCCACAAAGGAACAAACATACATATATAGACTGTTAAACACATAACCCTGTCTGCGCGTCGCGCTTCGCGCTCTTGCATTGCGCAGCCGGGTAAAAATATAAAAACCAAATTCTGCACAACTTGCACGAATAAATAAATATTTCCAACAGTCACTAGCCGAGCCCCGAAGTAAGCACTGTAAGGCTTGTGTTATGGGGTGCTAGGGTAACGGATAGAATACACATACTGTACATATATAAGCATATTAATATAGAATACATACTAAAATTCCATGTCTGGAGTACAAATGTTCGTATTTATCACACAAACAACTCCCCCCAATGTCCAATACTTTTTGATAAACTACCTGATAAACGAAGAAAAAAAAATGTCATCATCCCTATTATATCTTTTAAGAATTACGTATCTTTGTGTAACATGACATGACATGTCTGAATTATCCTTTAAAAGAGTCGTGAAAAAGCAACATGCAGGCCGGCAGGGTGAGGATGGCTGGTGTGGCAGGTAGAACTGCTGTATCAGCTATCTTCGCGTCTCGACTTCACCGTCGCTTAACATCAGGTGGGGTGGAGTCATTTGTCGGACCTATCTATACTTATAATAAATCTGTAGAGAACTCAATTCTGTACATGAAATATATTTTCAAAATAACTATCAGGGGGTGATTAGTGATCGATACTGATGCCAAAAATGCAATCAGTAAAAATTTTGTCTGTCTGTCTGTCTGTCTGTGTGTATGTTCCTTATAGAAACAAAAACTACTCGACGGATTTTAACCAAACTTGGTACACTTATTCTTCATACTCCTGGGCAGGTTATAGTATACTTTTCATCACGCTACAATCAATAGCAGCAGAGTAGTGAAGGGAAATGTTGGGAAAACGGGAGAAGTTATTCCATTTTTTAAGCTTCCGTCGCGTGTGCAGCCTTAATGGTTAAAGTTACATAGAAATCATGTATGACGGAAATATTCTACATAAAATTGTCTAAAAAATATCCCGCAACAGCATATGTCTATATTTTATGGTTGACTCACAATAACACGTGTAATTATATAAATAAAGTCATTGTTTATAGCACAAGCCTGAGAACAAAAACTATAGTTTACACTACAGCTCTACACCGAAGCGAAGCGAGGGCGGGCCACTAGTCTTAAATAAAATGGTTCAAATGATCACTCACTCGATTCCTACAAGACTCGGTGACGCTCAAGCTCTCATCGGCATGTATGATGTCGTAATCGTCGAAGTTATAGCTGTCGTAGGACACCGCCTCCTCGCCGTCCGACGCCGCGCCCGACGCCGGACCGGACGCCGGACCGGACGGACCGGACGCCGGACCGGACGCCGGACCGCCCGGACCGGACGACGCCAGCCGGACCGGCGACGGCGACGGGGACGGCTGCGACGAGTAGAACACGGAGTTGGATATCACCAGCTTGTGCTCTTGGTGGCAAGGCAGGTCTGATAATACAAGGAAACGACACAATCAGGGCTCCCGTTTTATGTTTCACCAGATGGCGCCACTGTCGAGTGAGGTTCTGTACCCCTAACACAAACCATTCATCATCATCATCATCATCATCAGCCTATTATTGTCCCCACTGCTGGGGCACAGGCCTTCCCTATGGATGGAATAGGGAGATTGGGCCATGACTCACCACGCGGGCCCAGTGCGGATTGGCGAGTACTAACGACTGCAGATGCAGCCGGGACCAACGGCTTAACGTGCCTTCCGAAGCACGGAGGAACTCGAGATAGAAAATTTTTGGTCACCCATCCAACGACCGACCACTGCGAAAGTTGCTTAACTTCAACGATCGCAGCTGAACGCGCTAACCACCTGCGCCATCGAGCTCCTCACAAACACAACACAAACCATTATCGAATTCGAATAGTTCGCAAACCGAAATATCATGCGGTAAGTTGGGTGATGGCGGCAGGTTATAATAAATACAAAGACGTAGATAGGTTCGTGTCCATTTATTGAAGATAACTTAATGGTACAAAACATACTTATTTATAATATTGGTGCACTACACACACACACGCACACTTATAAAATATAACACACAATATTATTACAAAACATCAGCATTTCACGTGGCCTACTTTCGTGTCATTCAATATGGCGTTGTATTATAAATACATATTTATTAAATTATTTTCATACTATCACAATCAATTTTGTATGGCAACTTGAACAGCAGCGCCACAAAGTACGTAACGAGAACTAAAAATCAGTACACATTTGACAATGAATTCGATTTTGGTTCGTGCTAGAGGCACTGTACCCTTAGCACGAACCAGTATCGAATTCGTAAGGTTTGCGAGTCCAAAATGTCATTGTCCAATGTTTACTGATTTTTAATTCTCGTTACGTAGATACTTTGTGACGCTGGTATTCGAGATTCCATACAAAATTTGACTTTGACATTGACATTTCGCACTCGCAAACTATTCGTATTTAATAATGGTTAGGGGAACCGATTAGTGATGTAACGAATATTCGCATTCGCATTCGCGAATATTCGCATATTTTCGAATATTCGCATTCACATTCGCATTCGCAAAATCTCTGCGGATGTTTTGCGAATATCAATATTAGAAAAAAACAATTTGAAGAATTTGTAGTTCTGCCTTTCCTTGAATATTCATTGTTACACAGTTTGCATTTAGCTCGTTCAGCATCGCAAAGTGTGAAATAAGTCAATGTTTCACTAGAATTCGATTTACTCATGTTAATAAATCAATTACCACTCACAATCACTAACCTCAAAATTCACTTGTTTTGTGTACGGAAAGACCGGCGCGAGCGGAATGACACTTCAGTCGGATGAGTTCATATCAACTCGGCAATTCGAACGAGACTGCCATCATGCCATAGACAATTGGCGCCAATTTAAAAAAAAACTAAATATTCGCATTCGTGTTCGCGAATGTTCAAAAAATGACATTCGTTACATCACTAATACCGATGTGTAGATTTTAAAGTTTGTTAATACGCGCGTGAAATCAAAGTTTACAATTGAATCATATTTTAATACAAAAGACTGTATCATAAACGTAATAAATCTATACTTTTGTACTTAAATACAGAAAGAGATTGTAATAACCAACTTACCACGCTAATATTATAAATAACAGCTATTGTCTATAAGTTTCCCTTACCATCAACACTCCAATCCATACAGTTGATTTCGGATCTCATCTCTTGTAGTACTTCTTGCATTATCTGTAGTAATTCCTGTTTTTTATCGCCCTCGGAGAACTTTTCGTTTATGGTCTGTGAAATTAAATAAAATAATACTTTTTATCGTTATTTTAACATATTTAATTTAATTTTGTCCCATTCGGTGTCGAGACCCTTGGTCCGTGGGGTCCTAGCGCTTTAAGGCTATTTAAGGAAATAGCAAAAAGGTTAGTCGACATCACAGGAGACCGAAGAGCTGGCAGCTACCTCGGACAAAGAATTAGTCTAGCCATTCAAAGGGGTAACGCTGCCAGTATCTTCGGATCCTTGCCTAAAGGGACTCTTTTTAATAATATATTTTAGTTATTAATTTTATTTTTAAGGTTTTTAGTTTTATTTTTTTTGTTCTAGTATTTATATATAAAGTAATTATGTAATTAGATTATGTATTTTGAAAACATAAATACAAAGAAAGCAAAATTGATTATTGATCAGTGAGAAAATATTAATTTTTTAATTTAAGCACGTGATGTTTTTGACTTTTCTCACTTCGACGGTTGTAGCTAGGGTTAAAAAAATATAGTAGGCGAAACTACTATATTTTGCTGAAAACATACCTTTGAAAGTAAAAGCCTTTTTTAAAAATTATTATTATATTATTAGTAAGGCAAAGAGCAGAATATATATATATATATATTTCATAAATAAAGTAAATATTTTAACTACGTGCTATATTTTTTCCAGCTACTTTATTTTTAGAAGAAAAGAAGTTGGTAACCCTTGTTGTAGCTGACGGGTGCACTCAGTGAAGTCAATTAATTTTTCAGTTATGTTTACTTAACGACATATTGCATTAATTTGACGTTTCTGAGAAAGATTTGAATCTGTCTTATTTAAACACCATCCAAAAGAGTATAAATCACGAGTTATTGAGTTTAACGATTCTCTTGGAATTTCGAAATATCTATATATACAGGGTGTTACAAAAATATAAATAAAGCTTGAAGGGCGTTGAAGTACATCATATAAGGAGTCTTCTCTAATTTTCTTAAAATATTTGCATGAAGTTTTAACTTTTTATAAAAACAGTTATTTTTAATGATTAATAAAAATATCGATCATCTGAAGTCACGTCACTACTTCAAGGATCATTAAAAATAACTGCTTTTATAAAAAGTTAAAACTTCATACAAATATTTTAAGAAAATTAGAGAAGACTCCTTATATGATGTACTTCAACGCCCTTCAAGATTTATTTGCATTTTTGTAACACCCTGTATAAAACTCAAAGGTGACTGACTGACATAGTGTTCTATCAACGCACAGCCCAAACAACTGGACGGATCGGGCTGAAATTTGGCATGCAGGTAGATGTTATGACGTAGGCATCCACTAAGAAAGGATTTTGATCAATTCTACCCCCAAGGGGATAAAATACCGAAGCGAAGCGAGGGCGGGCCACTAGTTAGTAATAAAAATGATTTGTCACCTCAAACAGATGTTGCTCCTGCCTGGCCACGTACTGTATCTTCTTGGGCACCACCTGCAGCTCGCGCGCCATATCGAACGACGCCAGTATGAAGTGCTGAAGCAACTTTATATGAACCTGATAAAAAACACATACATTTACTTATATGTCGGATGGGGGCGAGCGGGATAAGCGGTTGGCCACGTGGTTCGTCTTGATCCGCCATCTTGGGTATTCAATGATATTTCCCGAAAATAAAACTGTAGTCTAGTGACCAAGCTTACGTTTAATTTGAATCTTCTTATTACTTTACAAAAACAGTTACGATTGCCAAGGTACAAACGGATTGCGTTGTGAAGCGTGGAGAGTTCTGTGCTAACGTCCGTTCACTATCGCGGCTCGTCTGAATGCTGAATGCCCCTTCCAATGAAGCATAGCCCCTTAAATACTACCCTTAACATAGACCACTCCCAAATGATGACAGCTGTCACTGTCATTACTTGACGTTTCACAAAGCAATGGTACACTGACTGATGACATTTGTTGTCGGTTTAACATTTCGAAGGAACGAGTGAGACGCCGTCCGCCGACTTATATTTATTTATTAACATCAACAAGATTAACACCAACTCATTATAAAGTAACTTACAAACAATGTGGAAGCGAACTAAGTGTAATCTTAATAGGGTATTTGACAAGTTTTAGAAAACGATCTCACGTTATTGACTAATGTTTATGGAGTCCGTAAAAAGTGGTTATTCATCATTCTGTTGTGTATTTCGGTAAAAATAACCAAATCAAAAACTCCATTTTCAAGTTGCCGCGAAAACGTTTCTCTGGACAATATGGCGTCTTACTGGTGTATGACGTCACACGGCTGTTATTATAACGTCAAACGATACAATGTAATGTCACTTTAACCGGAAGTTACTTGCGTGTGACGTCATTTTAGGCTCCGCCAATCCCAAACGTATTGGGTCCCGTGACAATAGATAAGAAAAATATTATCTTTTTTGTGGGTTTTTAGTAAAATTATAAATATTTTTTTTGTAAAAATAGTCAAAACCCCTGCCAATATTCATTCTAAGCACAGATGCTAACAACTGGCACTTTATTTTTAATACTGTCAAATACCCTATTAAAAATGTTACACAATAGCACTGATAAGCAAAAATATCGCATAACAAAATCACACTATTTAAAAATCTTCTATTGATGTGAAATAATTAGTAGCAAAATATAAAAAAAAAATTATTAAAAACATTTCATTAAAAATTATATCATTATTCGGTTAAACGTCACAAAATATTGTAAAGTAATGGAAATTGATGTTATAATAATTAAAATTAAACATAATAAACATTTACAGTCACCAGCGAATACCTACATCAAATCTAGTATTTTTTTTATATTATTTTGGAAATATTTAACAGAATTAGAGAAAATATCGACATCAATTAATCATGCATCATGCTCATGAGCATGCTGTGCTAAATCGATTTTAATTTAATTTATTTAATTTTAATAAAAAATTAAAAATAAAAAAAAAATTTTCAACAATCGCAGCGTTACGACGAGTTTTAAAAACAATATCACGTTATTTTCTTGTGTTTATGAACTTCATAAAAAGTAAATATTTCATCATATTATTGTTATTGGAGTATATTTCATCATCACATTTGCTCAAAAAATGCATTCACGGAGGTCGTATACATTGTTTAAAAACAACGGAGCGGGCGGTAAAACGTTTTACCGCACGCTCCCATACATGGCGATGTGAGTATTCTTTAATTTCTTTTTTAATTTTGTTCGAAACTCTTCGTAAGTGCTATTAATCTGTACCTTTGCTCACTTTAACACCAAAGAAAAAGAGCCGAAAGATGGAGGTAGTTTTAATTTTCACAACCAGAACCATTGTGGTGCCATTAGAAACATTTTGCTTCATAACTTAAATTAGATTGTATAAATAAAACTAGTTTTTACGGGTTAATGCACGAAATTTTATTTATTTATTCACGTTTCGTAGCCATTACAGGCTACGTCGTCAGAATAAAACTTTTATTCAATTTGTCGAGCTACCTTCCAAAGACTTTTATTGAGCGTTTGGTTATTTCATTGTTCGATTTTTAAGTTTTATTGTCTATGTATGAATTTATTATTTAATTTACTTAATAAAGTATTTTATTTCAAATTCTTTTTTGTAATTTTGAGTTTATTTATTTGACCCTAACTACCGTAAACTACCACCGGTTCCAAAATTGGGAGACCATTCTGAGAAGAACCGTCGAAACAAACTCAAGAGAGGCTTTCTATCTCCTTCTTATGTTAAATTTTATTTAAACGAATATAGATTGTATAATTGATATTCGTTCGGAATAACCAACTTACCGCAATAATATCAAAAAAAATTTTTTTAACTATGCAGGGGACACGTTTATCTAGTCATCACAGGTAAGTCACGTCACGCGGTTGTCATAAAAACAACAGTACAAACTAGCACAGAGTAACATCAAATTGACATAAACTTTACATAATTATGACATCATTTAAGGCTCCACTGCTCTACTAATTCACGTGACTATAGATCAAAAACCCTTTTTTTTTCAGAAAAATAGTTTTCTTTTTAGTATTTTACTTCAAACAAAAATGATACTTATTTAAAACCAGAATCACTCACGTAACACATATAAGATATATCTTTCCACATAGAAACGTTAAGATGGAAACGAACAACACCAAGTCCGATAAAATACACTCATATTATTATACACCGTGTTCCTGAGGATATACGTTAACTTTGAATAATACTTCTATAGCTATTGTTAAACATATCGTTTAAAGAAAGTAGTAGTTTAAATAGCATAGTTTTTTAGTTAATGGTAATTTAAGTTTAACCAAATTCATTGTATTGTGCAGTGAGGAAGAGTCTTTATCTGTGAGATGTTGCCACTTTGTGCAACCAAAACTATCAACTCATTAAATCTAAAGAAAAGTTTACTAGAAAGAAAAACAATGCGAAGAGATGGCGCTGCCTTGCAGCTTAAGGCTAGAAAAATTTCGACGCGGCGAATAGGGCCGTGGTAGCATAATGGTCAGTGCATTCGCCCGGATTGCGAAGGGTGCGGGTTCGAGTCCCGTCCGCTGGCTGTACCGCGTGGTTTTTTTTTCTAGTAAACTTTTCTTTAGATTTAAACATCTAGCAGTTAAATGCTTAAAAATAAATAAAAACATATCAACTCTTTGTCAATGGTCATTAAGTCATAGTTTCAAAAGTCAAAATTTTAAAAAACATTGTTGACGTCAAGAAAAGTTTCAAAAAGTTTGTGTGGACATGTGAACCAAAGTTTCAAATGCGACGTTGCCAGCTCATGTAAAGAGTTATTCATATAATATAAATTACATCTAAGCATTTAGTTTGTATGAAAATAAAAAATGTTAAAGAAATTGGAATTCATAAAAGTGTCCAGTAAAAAATGATCAATTTAATAGTCTGAATAACATGCCAAAGTTAGTGTATAACCTCAGGAACAACTAATACTTATTAAAATGCACTCACTTCACTCAATCTAATGCAGTAATCCAACAGATAGCTCTGAAGGCAGCCCGTAGCGAACTTCACAACGGAGCTCAGTAGCGCCGTCCTGCTCTTCAGTACTCTATCAGTATCGCCGTCTCGCTTGCACCTACTGTCGTTCGCATTCTGAATTGCGTTAGATATGTACAGAGCTAATGTGCTTTCTGTGTTTTTTAGTATTTCTATGTCGTCTATAATGAGGAATTGACTTTTTGTGTAATGTTTTGGCGGCGAAGTGGCTGCAAAAGACGTTTAACATTATCATTATGTATATTTAAGTAAATATTACTTACCGGTACATTAAAGGTATAGCTTAATTATACCTAATTCACATGACATATTTTAGATTATTAACCACTGGTCTGTGTAGTCCTCCATTTTGTTTTTCACGGCCGGAAAATCCAAAAAAAACCGGCCAATTTTCCTCTTAATATTCGAGTCCTAATTAAAATCCAGGCTGCATTTATACGTTATTATGTCTTTAATGAATCCTGAATAGTTTCTCTACAAACTTATCTATACATTAGATGTGTAAATTAAAAACTTTTAAACAAACTGAAAATATAAAAATATTTTTCCCAACTCGTGGCAGAAATCATCCACTTACACAGACGAGAGGTTAAAAAATAAAAAGCCATATTTCGAAAAAATGTTACCAGATAGAGTAAATCGACCCACTCGCACATACCACATGAAATTTCATTGAAATCGGGTCAGCCGTGTAGTATATATTTATGTATTAATGAGAGAGAGAGGGGGAGAGAGAGAGAGAAAGAGACAGAGATATTTTAGTGAACTTAATCACACACAATTATTACAAAAAGAAAAAACACATTATTTTAAAAACAAAAATTTAAAGAACTTCAAACAAAATAACAAGAAATTGGTCGATCAGGACTAATTAAGCTATATTAATACAAGTTGGTGTTATCGAAACGCAAATGAGCAGATGATTGCTTTCTCCCACGCACTCATTGCGTGTCTATACCTTTCTCTTGCCCGATCCTTAATGACACACTTGTCAATGCGCCGGTGAAAAACCAACGTGTCTGTCTTTTCGGGTTTGATAATTCCTTATGTTATCAGTGTTATTATATATAAACAGTTAAAGTTTCACAGTGTCAGTGCGTCCAATCAAGGAGGCCTCCAAGACGAGAAACAGGAACCTTGAATATTTATCGAAGAAAGTTTGCCCGGAGCTCGTGCGCGACAAGGGTAAGTCCTTCCCCTATTTCCACTGTCCTCCGGTCATTTGCTCATTTTGTAATTCAACAAACCACAGCGCGGAAACAAGGACCATGCCTCGGTGTAATACTGATACCACAGGACAATAAGCGTGGTATAAAGATATAAGTACGTAGATATACAGATCTTTTGTCTGCGTATGCAAGTGTAGAAAGTAACAAAACAAATATAAAAATCACTGCTTACTATAAGACCACAAAAAAGTCCTACCTACTCTTGGTAGAATAAACAAATATGATTACAAATCTAGCGCCGAAGAAATTCATTTCCCAAAACTAAAAGCTACACAGCCTAAAGTTTAACTTGCGACTTACACATGAGGTCCCACTGGTCCAATAATTCATTCATAAATGCTATTTGTTCTTCGCTCAGTCTTCTGTTATCAGTCGAGATAGTTTTCGGTTGTGGTGATTCTTCCGTTTCACTGAAATGTGACAAAAAATAAGTTTATCCTGCTCGAAGGACCATTAAATATATTTTAATCTCTTCGAATGAAAAAGTTACACAAATTAGTCTAACATTCATACAGTTATTTGACCAAGTGCAACAGGGAGTAAAATTCAAATAGGTTGCGTTTTCATTGAAACAAAATAAAGCATGTTTTGAAATAGTATTAGAGCTATTTAAGTTTAATTTTTGCCAAAAAAATAATAATAAAATATTTTTATATGAGCAATTGAAATAATAATAAATGTACTTATAAACATATATTTTGACATATATGAAGTACAGACATCAAGGTATCCTTTTCCCAGACCATATTGAACAATCAATTTATTACTTACTTGAGAACGTTTTGTATGAACCCCTGGTCAGACTCTGGTAGTTCTTCGGCATAATAAACGGTATCTTCTGTGGACTCCGTAGCTTCTACGCTGACCCTTACCCGTTCTCTTCTGTTTCCTTCTGCACTATCCACACTATCGGAGAAGAGAACAAAGAGCAACTGCGCGTGAGGGTTCAACTCCTTTAGTTGATGTAGGTCTAGGCAGTTCTAGAAGATAAAAGATGATTTTAAAATTTGAACATTTCGAAGGGTTGTTCTATGCATCCGTCTTTAATAACAGAATTTTGACTTTAAAGTTTGTTTGTTGTAAAAATAGATGTGTGTATACCATTGTTATTAAAAGTTTCATAGCACTAGTAATATTGGGGCAAAGAAATGTATAAAACTTATGATTTTTATTAAGCATTTAACTGCTAGATGTTTAAATCTAAAGAAAAGTTTTACTAGAAAAAAACAGTGGTGCGGCTTCGAGTCCCGTCCGTTGCCTGGTCCGCGTGGATTTTTTTCTAGTAAAACTTTTCTTTAGATTTAAACATGTAGCATTTAAATACTTAAAAATAACATAACTATAATTGCTATTCCTTCTTTCAAATGTTTAATACTTGAAAAAGTATTCATTTGACATTGTGGGTTACGCGAAGAGATGGCGCTGTCTTGCTGAGAAATTTTATGCCCTTGAGCCTTGAAAATTTCGACGCGGCCATCAGGGCCGTGGTGCGAGTTCGAGTCCCGTCCGCTACCTGGTCCGCGTGGATTTTTTTTCTAGTAAAACTTTTCTTTGTATAAAAGTTTTTTTTTTAATATATAGGAAGATAAGCAAATGACTCTACCCCATCTGATGTTAATTGGTGATAAACTCCAAACGCGAAGATAGCTGGTACAGCAGTTAGAAAGTGACACACCAACCATCCTCACCTTGCCGGCCTGCAAATATGCTTCTACACGCCTCTCTTAAAGGACCCCAGATTGTAGGAAGGAGGGAACACATGCGCGGGCATAGAATTCCACTTACGAATAGTACGACAAAGAAATGAGTCACCAAATTTCTTTGTTCGCGTAGGTCGTTAGAAAGATGCAACTAAATAAATTCATTCTGTGCATAATGTATGGATAAACAGAACTATATTATTATACCACAAAATGTAACAAGCGATTTTGAACTTTTGATGACCGCACTCAGAGATGAAAATTAATTTTAACTCTAAAATTGATGATGTCACACTCTTTGCGATCGCAATAGAGTAAGATGACACGTCACTTAGACAAGCATTAAATTTAATCGAAGTCTTAAATTTAAAGACAATTTTACTAGAAAAAAATCTACGCGGACCAGGCAGCAGACGGGACTCGAACCCGCACCCTTCGCTATCCGGGCGAATGCACTGACCATTATGCTACCGCGACCCAGACGGGAGTGTCGAATTTTCTCTAGCCTCAGGCTGCAAGGAAGCGCCATCTATTAGCATTATAGGTTACCCACAATGTCAAATTAATAAATTGACTCCTAAACCTAAAATAATTACAATGAGGTATATTTACCTATAATTCATACTTTCTTACCTCCGAACTGAAAACGGCTGGCTCTCTCTTACTCTCCTTCCCAGGATCCCTATCAGCTACAATATCACTATCACTCCTATCACTTATATCAACACTTCCACCATTTTCATTAGCACACCTAGTCATGTAATACAAGTTGAATGTACTCCAAAAGTCTTCTTCACTCCTTGAACTGACTATTTCATTGGAAACACCACAGTTATCACTGAATACATTCTTTCCTATCTTGTCTATCGCAAACAAGTATACTGGGTTGAAACCCTTGAGTATTAATTCCCTTTTTGAGTACAACTCTGAATGTATTTGCTTCAAGGTCTTCAAGTCGACAGTTCCAGGGTCGTATTCTATGTCTGGTGGTATCAAGATGTGAAGACCGTCTTTAAGGAATGGATTGTTGATTTCCACTTCTAGCATTGTCGCGAGGTCGGTCTGGTCTTGGCGAATCAGATCCTGGGTTGGGAGAAATATTTTCATATATAGACATGTTACTGAAAAACATTTGATAGAACACTTCTAGTTGGTCAATTTAAAATCTATATACAGGATGTTACAGAATTCCGAAATAAAATTTGTAGGTATGTATTCCGAAATAAAAATTTGTAGGTATCTGAGCGGGGCGCAGGGGCGCCTGGGGGAGAGAAGGGGGTCTGTTTAGGTAGTAGTAATCGTACGCATTTATAGGGTTGTCATAGGCAGGTGTAAAACGATATTTTAATTAATTTAATTAGAAAATAAAAGTGGTCTGAAAGGCGTCAAACTTTCGTAGGTAATTCTATACAAGGAACACAACCAAACCCTAAAGTTTTATTTCGGACTTTTGTCACACCCTGTATATAAAACTCAAAGGTGACTGACTGACATAGTGATCTATCAACGCACAGCCCAAACCACTGGACGGATCGGGCTGAAATTTGGCATGCAGGTAGATGTTATGACCTAGGCATCCGCTAAGAAAGGATTTTGATCAATTCTACCCCGAAGCGAAGCGAGGGCGGGCCACTAGTCATTTAATAAAACACTTTTTGAACGGGCTCTTTCATTATGCTTGACGTTCCGGACCCTTTAAAAGCTCCGTACGCACTTAGTACTCGTTTAAAAAGTGTTATAAGTATTTACAGTTTCAGTTCAATCAAAACCATGGACTCAGAGAAGAAATCCTTATGAATTTGTAAAATAAAACAAAATTAAGAGGAACCTCGATGGCGCGGATAGTTAGCGCGTTCGGCTGCGATCGTTGAAGTTAAGCAAACTTTCGCAGTGGTCGGTCATTGGATGGGTGACCAAAAATCTTCTATCTCGAGCTCCTTCGTGCTTCGGAAGGCACGTTAAGCCGTTGGTCTCGGCTGCATCTGCAATCCGCACCGGGGCAGCGTGGTTGGTCATGGCCTATTCTCCCTATTCCATCCATAAGGAAGGCCTGAGCCTCAGCAGTGGGGACATTAATAGGCTAATGATGATGATGATGATGAAGTGAGACAGAGACAAACGTTCAGGCAACCCATAGTTTGTAAAAGCTTTGACTGGTTTTCTTTTATTTTTTAAGAGAGATCAGTTACATTCGGATGTCGCTAAAACCATTCTATACATATGTTTATAGCACAGTGTGACCTAAACCCGCACTTTACGCACGCTTTTTCGTGACCTACGTTGCCTATTTCTGCACGGTGTGTAAATGAATTGACCAACTTCACTCATGTAGAAAAAATAAAAGGAAACACATTTAAATGTCATTTGGAGCTTAAAAACTCACAGCAAACAAATGACAAATTAGCGATAGGTTAGGAATTTTCAGTGACAGCCAAAACAAGGAGAAACGGTTAGCTATAATTCATTCCGCGAGAATTGTATCTTTTTGTCGAAAATGGCCAGTTCGGATAGTGACCTAAGCGAATACGAGAACGGTGAAATTGTTCCGGACGCAATCAAAGAAGTGGCGAAGTCGGTGACATTGAATTTGTTGCCCCAAAAATCGAAACGGCTGTATACAGCAGCGTATAATGCATTTAAAAAATGGCGACGAGTGAATAAATCGAATTCGTTTTGCGAATGTGTTTATGGCGGGTTTATGTCACACTTGCTATAAAATAGTATACGATACTTGTGGCCTAAGTTGTCTATTACGGCACGGCGTTTAGCGCCCGGTGCTAAACGCCGTGCCGTAATAGGCAACTTAAGTCACGCGTATCGTAATGTACTATTATGGTTTCGGTTCAGTGAAATGTGTCGTGACTTGCGCTAACTTCATAGTCTCTACTAAGTTTGAATCACACTAGCATTTAAACAGGGAGGATTCAGCCATTCGCACCTCGCTGGCCTGAAGAACCCAATTCAATTACAACGTGGAATCTTACTGTACCCCTAGCACGAACCATTATCGAATTCGAATAGTTTGCAAACCGAAATGTCAATGTCAAATTTTGTATGGAAACTTGAACAGCAGCGCCACTTTGGACGTAACGGGAACTAAAAATCAGTACACATTTGACAATGACATTTAGTACTCGCAAACGATACGAACTTGATATTGGTTCGTCCACCAAGAGATAATGTTATTTTAACGTGGTGTTCGGTATGGTGGATGTGACTTAAATTCCCATGTTATCACTTCTTATAATGTGTAGGAAGGCCAAAGGGGAAGACTTTCCTCCGAGCTGGGTGATAATAGCTCGGGGGCCTCGGCCCGACTGATGTTGGTCAGGCATTGTATATATGGAGTAGTGATGTAACGAATATTCGCATTCGCATTCGCGAATATTCGCATATTTTTGAATATTCGCATTCACATTCGCATTCGCAAAATCTCTGCGAATGTTTTGCGAATATCAATATTAGAAAAAAACAATTTGAAGGAGTTGTAGTTCTGCCTTTCCGTGAATATTCATTGTTACACAGTTTGCATTTAGCTCGTTCAGCATTGCAAACTGTGAAATAAGTCCATGTTTCACTAGAATTCGATTTACTCATGTTAATAAATCACTATTACCACTCACAATCACTAACCTCATAATTCACTTGTTTTGTTTACGGAAAGACCGGCGCGAGCGGAATGACACTTCAGTCGGATGAGTTCATATCAACTCGGCAATTCGAACGAGACTGCCATCATGCCATAGACAATTGGCGCCAATTTAAAAAAAAAACTAAATATTCGCATTCGCATTCGCGAATGTCGGTACCAGACATTCGCATCCGCATTCGCATTCGCGAATGTTCAAAAAATGACATTCATTACATCACTAATATGGAGTGTTAGCCTCCGAATTACACTTGCGCGATGTACGCTTCTATACTATTGTGATTGCAGCGCAGGTAGCGCCATCTCTTGAGGAGGCGAGTGATTATTTCTTCCATGTTAGTTATATGTGGGGCATATAGATGTCGCCGTTACAAATTTAACTTTAATAATTCTATTTTTAACATATAGTCAACAAACTGGAAATCCCAACACACTCATTCTAAGAGCACTCGGTTTCGAGATAAACGGACATAACTAATGCATATAATAATTATGAATATTTATGAACATTTTACGTTTATCGCTCACTGATTAGTCACGGTTAAACTTTGCGTATTCAAATATTGATTAAGTGAAGATTAGAATAAATGTAAGTGTGAATTTAAAACTAATATATTGTGCAATGGTAGTAATAAATGTCTGCCAATGGACCAAAGAAGTTTACGCGAACTTAATTAAAGAAAATTCTGTCCATCGAAGAAAATATTTTTTCACTGTGGTCTTCTGTGGGGGACGTAGCCTCCACCTTACTGTAGCTAAACCGTAAGTTTTATAAATACTTTTCTCGCTACTAGCGACAACGCGACCGATTTGTACAGCGCCTCTAGCGGTCACTCAAAAAACTGAAATGTATAGACATCGTTTTTCAAATAAAAAATAGCCCTTGCCGAGTTTCTTGCCGGTGATTCTCAGAACAAGGTCTCCCTCCGTAGATTTACGAACCGATGGCGTAGCGTTTGACTTTCACAAGAGCTTGTAACAGGCTAGACTGTGTATATTCATCCGCATATAGCAATAAGTCGAACAATTTTACGAGCTTGCATTTCGAACAGCCATACGTCTTTGACGCATGCGTTCAAATTAAGACCTTATACGGTATGTATTAAGGGTGACTTTCATGTGTTTAAATAATGCCTCATCTTTTTTTTGACCACGCGATGGTGTCGTGTGAGGCAGGTCGTTACATTCCCTAAAATATGGTTGAGCGAAGCGATGGCTGGTTCATGCGTCATGATCGTGAACGGGTGCTGCCAGCGGAGATGAGTCTGCCCTAACTTCCTTAATATTGAAGTTAATGTTTAGTCACACTTAATACAAATAACACTATTTGTATTTATACTGTATGACACAGCAATCAAAATGCAGGTAAACAATTAATGTATATTTAATCATTATGTAATGAAAGGTGATGTCATGGATGTCCAGTCATGGATGTTAAATATGTATTAGTATATAAATATATTTATATATGTACTGTATATGTATTCTTATCCGTTACCCTAGTATCCCATAACACAAGCCTTACAGTGCTTACTTTGGGGCTAGGCTAATTGGTGTGAGTGTTGGAAATATTTATTTATTTATTCATGAATCATCTCTGAAGTCATTTTTAAATTTGACGACTCCGTAAATAATAAAACAGGGAGAAAAAAACAGCCCTTGCTGTTACGTTACGAACCGATGGCGTAGCTTCTAAACATTCATGAGTGCTTGTAACAGCCTTAACTGAATAAATGATTTTGATTATGATTATTATGATTCACCCAGTAAAGAAGTTTCACTTCAGTCGTGTGGTTATGACCACACACTCGTTTTTCTTTATATCTCAATCTCTTCCGTACTTCGGAAGGCAATTTTAAGGCCGCGTGGTCAAATGTGCCTTTTTTATCTATAGGGTACCGTACCCCAGCAGTGGGGACAGTAACAGCATGATTTAATAATTTAATTTAATAAATATTTCCAACACTCACACCAATTAGCTTACTTTGGGTAAGCACTGTAAGGCTTGTGTTATGGGATATACTAGGGTAACGGATAGAACACATATACTGTACATATATAAGTATATTTATATAGAAATAAATATTAAACATCCATGACTGGAGTACAAATGCTCGTATTCATCACACAAACATCTGCCCCCACCGGGATTCGAACCTGGGACCTCACGAGTCGGCGACACCATGAAACCCAGCGTACAAACCACTCGGCCACTGAGGTCGTCAATGTTGATGATGAGGTATAACACTTACTTCTACAGGCAGCGTGTCCCAGGGTCTCCTATTGCACTCCAACTCTTCAACCAGCTCGAACTCGGAGTTCCCAAGGGTCAGGTGCACTTGTGTACTGGTTCCGTGCTGCACGCGAAGCTAGAAAATATTCGAATTAAAATCGAATCGAAGGATGTAACAATGTACTTTTTTTTCTATATCCGTAATCGCTTTAATTTCGTCATTGGCAAAGAAATAAATTATGTCACTTTTAATTAGTACATTCAACAAATTCGTTGACTAAATTTTACGTGATTGAGTAGCAAACATACAACACATTTATAATATATGCAGGATAGAATATGTCTCACCCAACTGCATCCGCGTGGCAGCCTATTAGGTAATAAAAGTCTTCCCAATAAGCAGTGCAATAGCCAAGTTCTAGCCTCAATACTGGTCCCGAACAGCAATGACATCACACGCAAGTAAACTTCCGATTAAAGTGACATTACATTGTATCGTTTGACGTTTTAATAACAGTCGTGTGACGTCACACACTAGTAAGACGCCATATTGTACAGAGAAACGTTTTCGCGGCAACTTGAAAATTGAGTTTTTGATTTGGTTATTTTTACTGAAATACACAACAGAATGATGAATATCCACTTTTAACGGACTCCATAAACATTAGTCAATAACGTGAGATCGTTTTCTAAAACTTGTCAAATACCCTATTGGCCTTTAACTTGCCAACACTATGAGCTAAAGGTATGATAATGATCTTCAAAGGATCTTTGACTCACCCATCTGCATCCGCCTGGCAGTCTATTGGGTAACAATAGTCTTCCCAATAGGCAGTGCAATAGCGGAGTTCTAGCCTCAATACTGGCCCCGAACAGCACCAAGATCGATCTCCTCTTCAAATTGGAATTCAACTTGCCAACACTATGTGCTAAAGCTATGATAATGATCTTCAAAGGATCTATGACTCACCCATCTGCACCCGCGTGGTAGTCTATCAGGTAACAATGGTCTTCCCAAGAGGCAGTGCAATAGACGAGTTCTTGCCTCAATACTGGTTCCTAGCAGCACCAGGACCGTGGTCCGAGAAGCGAGGTTGCTGATCTCCTGTACCGCTATCGAAATCTCAGGGTCTGTGAAATATAGAGATAGCTGTTTAATACACTTTTAAACTTTCGTGTTTTTCGCAGCAAAAGAGGCATTGACACATGTTTCAATCTAGGCCTAGTTGTAGCCAAGGCTTGTAGGGTGCTATTCTGAAATAATGCGCGGAAATTAAAAGCAAACCTAGTAGTACCTAGGCAAAAGTTTTTCATTCAAAGAGTTGATTTGTGTGTGTGTTTTTTTTATATATTAAGAGCTTTCTATTTGTAAGTCCGTTTAAATTTCATAAAACCTTTGGTAAATTACATGGTTGCCATGTTTCAGAGTAAATGATTTTTTCATTTTTAAATTTCAGGATAGATATGTGTTTATTGTGTAATATATTTGGCCGCTAAACCACCACAGATATGAATTCTCATACAACTTTTGCCGGCCGATGCTCGCATGTATTTGGCCACTACAGCAATTTCGATTTATCCCGAAGAAGATTTTCAAAATATTGATATATTTCCAAACATGTTTGGGAAAAAATATAATATTTTACAGGCTAAAACGCGCAGTTAAATGAAGGTTTTCGCACTATCTACATCCCGTCGTTTCGAGCAGGTTACACCGGTCGTGGTGTAACCTGCTCGAAACGACGGGGCGACTGATGCATTGCTGTTACGTCTCCGATTCCGATGATCGTACTTGGAAAAATCATGTGTCGGTAAAGAAAGATTCATAAATTATCTGACAATAGTGGTATACCTTAGATTTAATTATCAAAATAAGCTTGAATTAATCACACGATTGACCCTTTGAGTCTGATTTGACTTCAAGCAATATACGAGCTCGATGGCGCAGTGATGAAAAACCCACAACTGGCATATTTGTTGACCTATTCAAAGCGTTCGATCATGTTTCGCACACAATACTAGCAAGAAAACTAGTAATGATTGGGATAAGGGGTCACGCGCTTAACTGGATAAAGTCATACATAAGTAAAAGACGATGATGTTATAGCGTGTTCATCACAATATAAAGATAATCACGGTGGTTTGCCACAAGGTAGCGTACTGGGTCCAATATTTTTCAATTTTTATTCTAATGACATTTTTTACGCTACAGGTCATCATGCGTGCATTGCATTCGCTGATGGTATACGGGTATGTGTTGCGATAAGTTCAAATAAAACGGTAGCAGAGCATGAAAATGACATTGATGAGGCTGTGGAAAAATTAATCGGATTTTTTTAATATGCATAATTATATATAAAATTCAATAAATGTATGTAAGATGTTATTACCGAAGTGCAGTATATCGCAAACGTCGTGCAGAGCGCGCTGCGTGTCCCGCACTAGCCCGCGCAGCGTGCGCATGCGGTTGGAGAGGCGGCGGGACCACGCGCAGCCGCCAGCCATCGTGGAAGATCTCACCACACTCCAATGAAAACATACGATGTGCTCTGGAAGGAAAACAAATATATGTGAAAAGGATGGCTTACATTGTAAGCCTATTAGAAAAACAGATTTTACGCCGACTTTAAATTGTTATCATCAGTCCAAGAAATTCCAATTTGGCTACTACATCTTCGTCTCTACTACTGTCATCATCAGGAGAGAATCTCGCCCCGCTTCCCACACTCAGCACCCCGCGGACTCACTAGCAAGAAGGAGCGCATGCTCTATTTAGTAGTATTATTTAGATTTGACCAAATAATTAGGTTCTTTGTTACCCCCGAAGTACGGCTGATTTACCCCCGGAAGGGTAATTACCCCCAGGTTCGGAACCCAGGGCTTACAAGCATAATTATGGCAAGCGGCCACCATAGCTTGTAGTCTATCCTAACCTCATGGAGCTTGGAAGGAAACATACTCATAAAAAATCTGTGTTACTCGTATTACAAGCTTTTTTTACTTTGATCATCTATGAAATGGAGGTTGTTTACCCAGACAGGAGCACCAACTAAGGCAAAAGCTTCGCTTTCTTACAAGCAAAACTCTTTTGTACATCGGAGCTCGATGGCGCAAGTGTTCAGCGCGTTCAGCTGCGATCGTTGTTTAGCATTAGCAACTTACGCAGTGGTCGGTCATTGGATGAGTCACAAAAAATTTACTATCTCGAGCTCCTCCATGCTTCGGAAGGCACGTTAATCCATTGGTCCCGCCTGCATCTGCAGTCTTTAGCACCCACCAATCCGCATTGGGCCCGCGTGGTGGGTCATGGCTAGTGTTGCCAGGTGTCCCGATTTGTGCGGGACGTCCAGACTTTCAGGGGTCTGGGGACGCGTCCCGATTTGTACATGATCGGGCCGCTAAATGTCCTGATTAATGAAAAAAATAAATTTAGGTAATTAATATAATTACTACACTAGTAGTTTAAAATGCAATTAATTGAACCCAGACTTCTAAACCCCTTGTTTTTTGTTTACTGTCCCGATCTGCAACCCTAAATCCCGATTGTTTTGACCTCATGTACCGATTTAAAACAAATCGGCCCTGGCAACACTAGTCATAGCCGAAACTCCCTATTCCATCCATAGGTAAGCCCTGTGCCCCAGCAGTGGGGACATTAATAGGCTGATGATGATGATGATGATGAAGACTCTCTAGACTAAAACCAAATTTGACAAGCACTATTAATTATTCCTGTTATAGGAAAAGAAAACGAGAAAGAGAGATTAGCAGTATCAAATTATTTAAAGTGAAAGAGATTCGGGTCAGAATTCGCATACTATTATTCATCAATCTAAGCTTAGCAAATGATTAGATAACAATTTTATTTATTTATGACAAAATGTGTAATTTAATACTATCATAATCAATTCAATTCACGTTCAAGCGTCACATGTACCGCGTGTGTTAGTAAATACAACAGTTACAACTTTATCAGTGTTATAAAATTTATCGGCATACATCATCATTAACATCATTTCGAAATGTGTAGAGGAAACTCAACACATATCGGGGTATGTTATGGTCCTTCGAGCCGGATTCGGACCATTGAACAATGGTCGAGTCAAGTGTTGGCCAATTATGATTGTTATTTTTAAACTATAAAAACGGTTCGTATTTTATCTAAAATTGTATGGTCCTTCGAGCCGGATTCGACACACCAATGGTCGAGTCTAGTTCTGGACAGATATGATTGGTTTTTTAAACTATAAAGTCAGTTTGTATTCTATCTGAAATTCTTGAAAGGTCCTTCGAGCCGGTTTCGAACCAGTGACCAACGGTCGAGTCTAGTTCTGGCCAGTTATGATTGTTTTATTTTAACTATAAAGTCAGTGTTTATTTTATCTGAAATTGTATGGTCCTTCGAGCCGGATTCGAACCAGTGACCAATGGTCAAGTCTAGTTCTGGCCAATTATGATCGGTTTTTTGAAAACTATAAAGCCAGTTTATATTTTATCTGAAATTTAAAAGTTACGTTTCGTTTTTTTTTATATATAGCCAGGTAGGCAAATGACTCTACCCCACCTGATGTTAAGTGGTGATAAAGTCCAAACACGAAGATAGCGTTGGTACAGCAGTTATAAACTGCCACACCAACCATCCTCACCTTGCCATCCTGCAAAAATGCTTCTTCACGCCTCTCTTAAAGGCCCCAAGATCGTTTCATCATAATTATTAAATTCGCGTAACTATGGCTTAAATGACAGTGTAGTACGTATGAGTCACTATTGCGTAGTTAATTAGCAATGAGCAAGATTCACGGAGGCCACCACTGAGCTAGACACCCAGTTTAAGATAGGAAATATTTTTCAAAGTTTATCATTTTTAAGAATTACAACCTCAGTCCGTTCACCTTTTAACAAGCTGTATTCATAAACATGTGACGACCTCCGTGGCCGAGTGTTTTGTACGCCGGGTTTCATAGTGTCACCGACTCGAGAGGTCCCGGGTACGAATCCCGGTGTTTGTGTGATGAATACGAGTATTTTGTCGACCTCCGTGGCCGAGTGGTTTGTACGCCTGGTTTCATGGTGTCGCCGTCTCGAGAGGTCCCGGCTTCGAATCCCGGTGGGGGCAGATGTTTGTGTGATGAATACGAGTATTTGTACTCCAGTCATGGATGTTTAAATATGTATTACTATATAAATATACAGTACATGTATTCTATCCGTTAGCCTAGTATCCTATAACACAAGCCTTACAGTGCTTACTTTGGGGCTAGGCTAATTGGTGTGAGCGTTGAAATATTTATTTTATTTATTTATTTATATCTTTAATCTTTATAACAGGTGCGTTCAATATTATTCTAAGTTTATAATAGACTCAGAATAATGAGATAATCATTTGAATTAAACACATGATTCAGGATTGTGGAGATAATTCCAAACGACATTACATTACAGAGATGTGATCCAAAAAAACAATACCGTAAGTACGCGTCGAACACAATAGTGATGGTGCGTACAAGTTGTAACTTGTTCAATCGTGAATTAGCGAATACTTGTATGTAATAGACGATATCGGATTATAGGGGGTGCCGCATTAGCCAGGGGCCGGATAACCGGGGCTCCACTGTATTTCAATAGCTTCGCACTGTCAGTGGAAAGACGACCTTACGATCAACCTGGTTATTTGATTTTGAACTTTGCTCGCCAAACGGAAAGCCGAGAATAGTTTAATAAGTTTTTTAGATACAAACACGTTCCCTCGATAATCTGTCGAATGACATAAATTGTGAAATCCTTATCATGGTTCACATCTCTATGCGTTTGGAATTATCTCCACAATCCGGAATCATGTGTTTAATTCAAATGATTATCTCATTATTCTGAGTCTATTATAAATAAACTTAGAATAATACTGAACGCACCTGTTATAAAGATTAAAGATATAAAAATAAATAATTAAAATAAATATTTCAACGCTCACACCAATTAGCCTAGCCCCAAAGTAAGCACTGTAAGGCTTGTGTTATAGGATACTAGGCTAACGGATAGAATACATGTGTACTGTATATTTATATAGAAATACATATTTAAACATCCATGACTGGAGTACAAATACTCGTATTCATCACACAAACATCTGCCCCCACCGGGATTCGAAGCCGGGACCTCTCGAGACGGCGACACCATGAAACCAGGCGTACAAACCACTCGGCCAAGGAGGTCGACAAAATACTCGTATTCATCACAGAAACACCGGGATTCGAACCCGGAACTCTCGAGTCGGCGACACCATGAAACCCGGCGTGCAAACCACTCGGCCACGGAGGTCATCAACTCATGATATATAACAACATCGTCGCGGTTTCGCAAACTCTATGGAAGAAGAATTTATCCTGGTAAGACTGTCGTTACATGCGGCATTGTTGTGCACAGCATATATTATCTAATGGAGGTATGTAATATTATTAAATAGAATTGTAAGCTATTTTATATTAAGAAAATGCGGTCTGATATAAATAAGAAATTTTGTGTACCTATGACATTTTAATATTCATTTTGTGTATGACATTATAATACTATTAACTTGACTTTTGATTTTTAATTATTTTATTTGATGGAAATTATTGAATTTAAATTATGTAATTTACTAAATTAAATAAATGATTAGTTGTATTTTTAGTGGCATGTGCCATTTCTATAGAAATTGATTATGTATTATTATAATGGTTACGAGTTATGTTGCTCGAAATAAATGAATTTTACTTATTTTATTTTTATAGTGCTGATTTTTATTAAAATGATAGGTTCTCAATCACAAACCTAATCAAAAAAACTAGCTAAGTGGCGGCCTGTGCGAATCTGAAGATTTCTATATGACAAATAGTAATAATTTAACCTAATCACACTTATATTATAAAGGCTAAAGTTTGTGAGTCTAAACGGCTACAGCGATTTTAATAAAATTTGGTATGGAGTTAGCTGGCATTTTGGCTAGATTAACACATAGGCTACGTTTTACTGCGGGAAAATATCCCTAATAAACCGCGGTTATCACCGCGGGGCACAGCTAATAATATAACACTTATAAGTAATTTATCACCATTAAACTTCAAATGCGAATAATGATATAAAAAGCAGATTTGTTACTGAAAATTTCAACTATATTGCCATACATTAAAAAGAAAAGTTTTTATGACAAACTAGCGGCCCGCCCTCGCTTCGCTTCGGTGTAGAGCGAAAGTGTAAACTACAGTTTTTGTTCTCAGGCTTGTATTATACACGATGACATTGATCTATGATTCTTCATTACCTGCATGCAAAGTCTCAGCCCGATCGGTTTAAAATTGACAAAGTTTTATACAGACTTTCATTCCCTATTTTATCCCCTTGGGGGTAGAATTGATCAAAATCCTTAACGGGTGCCTACGTCATAACATCTACCTGCATGCCAAATTTCAGCCCGATCCGTCCAGTGGTTTGGGCTGTACGTTGATAGATGACTATGTCAGTCACCTTTGAGTTTTATATATATAGATAGGGGTGATGACGGGGTACAGTATAC